TTACTAAACATCGACCCTTTGAAGCTTTTCTGTGTCTATATATAATCATATCTGAGTTTCATTCATTTACAATGTGCATAGGTAATTGCTTATGCTTAAGGAAGGACAGCAGTCCGCTTGAAGAGCTGATGGGAATTACTGCGACGACCGCCCCCCCCCCCTGCAGTATATTATTTCTCTGAACTCCATGAGCCAAGGATGTAATGAGTGACTTGTGGTTGAAACATAAATTTAAGTCTACGATGTGACCTAGATCTACCCTTTCTTGTAGTCTACCGATTTCATCGTGACGGTTGTTTTCAACTGCATGTGCATGAACGCGTGAGTCTGTCTGTCTGCCTGTCTGTCTATCACAGTAAGAGGGCTGTTGATAGTTGAAGTAAGTAAATACATTATGCCACAGTAAGAGGGCTCTTGATTGTTGAAGTTAGTAAATACATTATGCCACAGTAAGACGGCTCTTGATAGTTGAAGTTCACAAATACATTATGCCACAGTAAGAGGGCTGTTGATTGTTGAAGTTAATAAATACATTATGCCACAATAAGAGGGCTGTTGATTGTTGAAGTTAGTAAATACATTATGCGACAGTAAGAGGGCTCTTGATAGTTGAAGTTAATAAATACACCATGCCATAGTAAGAGGGCTGTTGATTGTTGAAGTAAGTAAATACATTATGCCACAGTAAGAGGGCTCTTGATAGTTGAAGTTAGTAAATACATTATGCCACAATAATGAGAACTGTTGATTGATGAAGTTAATAAATACATTATGCCACAGTAAGAGGGCTGTTGATTGTTGAAGTTAATAAATACACCATGCCACAGTAAGAGGGCTGTTGATTGTTGAAGTAAGTAAATACATTATGCCACAGTAAGGGGGCTGTTGATTGTTGAAGTTAATAAATACATTATGCCACAGTAAAAGGGCTGTTGATTGTTGAAGTTAATAAATACACCATGCCATAGTAAGAAGGCTGTTGATTGTTGAAGTAAGTAAATACATTATGACACAGTAAGACGGCTCTTGATAGTTGAAGTTAGTAAATACATAATGCCACAGTAAGAGGGCTGTTGATTGTTGAAGTAAGTAAATACATTATGCCACAGTAAGAGGGCTCTTGATAGTTGAAGTTAGTAAATACATTATGCCACAATAATGAGGGCTGTTGATTGTTGAAGTTAATAAATACATTATGCCACAGTAAGATGGCTCTTGATAGTTGAAGTTCATAAATACATTATGCCACAGTAAGAGGGCTGTTGATTGATGAAGTTAATAAATACATTATGCCACAGTAAGAGGGCTGTTGATTGTTGAAGTTAATAAATACACCATGCCATAGTAAGAGGGCTGTTGATTGTTGAAGTAAGTAAATACATTATGCCACAGTAAGAGGGCTCTTGATAGTTGAAGTTCATAAATACATTATGCCACAGTAAGATGGCTGTTGATTGATGAAGTTAATAAATACATTATGCCACAGTAAGAGGGCTGTTGATTGTTGAAGTTAATAAATACACCATGCCATAGTAAGAGGGCTGTTGATTGTTGAAGTAAGTAAATACATTATGCCACAGTAAGGGGGCTGTTGATTGTTGAAGTTAATAAATACATTATGCCACAGTAAGAGGGCTGTTGATTGTTGAAGTTAATAAATACATTATGCCATAGTAAGAGGGCTGTTGATTGTTGAAGTTAGTAAATACATTATGACACAGTAAGACGGCTCTTGATAGTTGAAGTTAGTAAATACATAATGCCACAGTAAGAGGGCTGTTGATTGTTGAAGTAAGTAAATACATTATGCCACAGTAAGAGGGCTCTTGATAGTTGAAGTTAGTAAATACATTATGCCACAATAATGAGGGCTGTTGATTGTTGAAGTTAATAAATACATTATGCCACAGTAAGATGGCTCTTGATAGTTGAAGTTCATAAATACATTATGCCACAGTAAGAGGGCTGTTGATTGATGAAGTTAATAAATACATTATGCCACAGTAAGAGGGCTGTTGATTGTTGAAGTTAATAAATACACCATGCCATAGTAAGAGGGCTGTTGATTGTTGAAGTAAGTAAATACATTATGCCACAGTAAGAGGGCTGTTGATTGTTGAAGTTAATAAATACATTATGCCACAGTAAGAGGGCTGTTGATTGTTGAAGTTAATAAATACACCATACCATAGTAAGAGGGCTGTTGATTGTTGAAGTAAGTAAATACATTATGACACAGTAAGACGGCTCTTGATAGTTGAAGTTAGTAAATACATAATGCCACAGTAAGAGGGCTGTTGATTGTTGAAGTAAGTAAATACATTATGCCACAGTAAGAGGGCTCTTGATTGTTGAAGTTAGTAAATACATAATGCCACAGTAAGAGGGCTGTTGATTGTTGAAGTAAGTAAATACATTATGCCACAGTAAGAGGGCTGTTGATTGTTGAAGTAAGTAAATACATTATGCCACAGTAAGAGGGCTCTTGATTGTTGAAGATAGTAAATACATAATGCCACAGTAAGAGGGCTGTTGATTGTTGAAGTAAGTAAATACATAATGCCATAGTAAGAGGGCTCTTGATTGTTGAAGTTAGTAAATACATTATGCCACAGTAAGAGGGCTGCTGACAGTTGAAGTTAGTAAATACACTATGCCACGGTATGCTGTGTGGGGTAAGGGGGCTATGTGGTGTGATTAGTGTATTTCACATGGGATCATTTGCATCGAATTGCTATCATTTACAAGAATTATGTTCTGTGCCCCTTTCCAACTGTTCACGTTCTTTTCTGACACGATGACAAGTGTGTAGCGGTGCCTCTGATCATTCATTCGATCATTTTCCTGAGAAGTTAAAAGCTTATTGAGAAGACGCTTTATTTACATCTATACCGATTATTCCTTTTCATTTGGATTGATATTACTAACGCAAAGGAACTTTTGTCTTTAAGAAGTGAATTATTCATTTTCCAAAAGCCTTTCTTGCGCTGCAGTTCTGATAGTCTAAAGGGTAAAGATAGCGGGGTTGTTTTAAAGGGTTATGTTGTCCATATGCATCGCTTAGCAAAAGGCTTCAGTTCCCTCGAAGCTTTGACAAGTCCAATTCACATTTAAGTTTAAGTACCCTTTATTGAACTTTGAATTATTAACATTCTTTATTGTTGTACGAATCTAGCGAGTTACTTTGAATGATATTCCAATTCCCACCAAACACAATGTGATCACTTGTTAAAAGTCCTATTGTGCTGTCTGTTTCATCGTACAAATCTGGATCATAATGTTCAGGTACTTATATGGTATTCTTATCCGTAAGGAATGCCAAATAGAGGGAATTAAATGTTCTGTAATGCTCTTGGGCATGGGAATTACAGTTTTCTTTAAATAACTCGTCTTTTCATTGGACGCCTGTAATATTTTTCATTCGTTCGTTCTTTAAGTCTATCTTTAAGTCACGTCCCTATATCGAATGATATAGAGTCGAAATGATTTGCATTTTTTTTTCCAAAACATTTTACATTTTATTGTTAACAAAACTAATCAGTCTGTGCAACGTAAAAGATTTATTGTTGATACAAATCACATTAAGCTGCTTCCTGGCGTCGATGTTGACTTTCAGTCTGAAAACGGTAACCTGTCGACTATATATTTTGAAAAACAACAACATCTCCTCCATCCTGTTCTGATGAACTTTCGGTTCTATTGACGAAATATTCTCTCAGCACCCTTTCAGTATTTTGTTAGTGGATGTCAAGCGAAACCGGAAAGTTCTGAGATGAAATACTCCTTCCCTGATTATCTTTTGGTCGTTTGACACATGTGTTACCTTCAGCTTTCACTGTACAAATCTTACACATATCCTTGTTAGTAAGACCCGTGAAGATTCGGGGTAGAATAGGTCTTCAGCAAACCATGCTTGAAGTAAAAGGCGACCATTCTTGTCGTAAAGAGGCGACTAACGGGATCGGGTGGTCAGGCTCGCTGAAGCATGTCATCGTATCCCAATGGCGTGGATCTATGCACATGATATCAATCACTGGATTGGCTGGTCCAGTCTCGATTATTTACAGACCGCCGTCATATAGCTGGAATATTGCTGATTGCGGCGTAAAACATTAAACCAACCAACCTTAAGCTTGTAAGTAAGTCTTTTTATATAAAAGCATATTTTCATTTATTGCACTTTCACAATGCCTTGGCATAACAGTCAAACTACCAAACTGTTTCGTTACCCAGGACGAACTGAGTGAAAGGCCACAATGTTCCATGGCTATGGGGTCATAGCATCGCAACATTACAAACGTTCAACATTTTTCTCATGTGACATCAGGGAATATTGTCACATCTGATGGTATTGATGAATTAATAACATTCTTGGTGAGGTGAGGTGAGGTGAAATGGGGTTTAACGTCGCGTCCAAGATTATTGCAATTATATAGCGACGTGCATGTACGTGTGTGTGTTTGTGTGGCTGCTTGTACTAGTCCGGACTGATGCCGATTTATAGTGCTAGCTCACTGAGATACCATGCCGCAGTTTAACATGAATACCCCACTCAGACACAGTATACTGACTCCGAGCCGACCAGTCCTTGTTTTAACCCCTTAATGCCGAGCGCCAGACAGGGTAACAACAAGTACCATCTTTTAACGTCTTTTGGTATGACGCGGTCGGGGATCGAACCCCGGACCTTTCGCTCTCCGGGCGGACGCTCTACCACTAGACCACGGAGGCGGTCTAATAACATTCTTGATTATTTATGATTTTTTAACAAACGAATGACATTTACGATTTACGAATGAACCTTTCGTTTTCAGTTTATGAATATACATTAATACAAGACTCTACAATATACTTCTTTGATCTGACCCGTGAAGATCTGGGGTAGAATAGGCAATCCATGCTTGCCATGAACGGCGACTAGCTTGTCGTAAGAGGCGACTAACGGGATCGGGTGGTCAGGCTCGCTGACCTGGTTTGAGAATGTCATCGTATCCCAATGGCAAACACCGGTACACTAATCCGCCAGGTGGCGCGTCGGAATTTCCGTCCCGGAAGTGTTGCTAATGTAAACATGTCGCACTACAGCGGTCTGACAGTTGAGAAGTTGAAGACAGAGTTGCGATGCCGTGGAGCAACTACACGCGGGAAGAAGATCGATTTGATTGAAAGGTATGTAATTGTACCATAGACTTGCCAATTCTGTGTCAGTTTGCTTTGAATCTTCGAACAGTCTTTGATTTGTTCCACTAGTACGACTCGAGATTACCGCGGGAAATCCGAACTGAATGAAAATTGTTGTTATCGATAAAGGAAACGTCAGGGGTGTGCAAATTTCATTTTATTGAATGAAAACCCGTGCATGTTGGTGTAATCGTAAATAAAGCATGCTTAAATATATTTTACCCATTATGCTATGTCAGTCGTCTGCAGAGCATGAACTGGGGCCATAGTGACTAGGCCTACATGTATGCAAAAGCAAAGACCATATACCGGCAGTGGTGTATACATTGACTCAATGCATCAGACTAAAATATATCAAAATAAATAGTACCGTATATATTAACCTTTTGATACTTTAATTAATATCTCGAGTGAAAAAAATGAGAAGAAAGCTTCAGTTAGGATTTCCTAGCACAGCTAAGGTATCACAAGTACCATATGAGACTGCATGGGTAAAGTTATTTTTACAATCTACAGTCCTGGCAAAATAACCCTCATTCAAGTTATTTTGGGCATTGTCTAATGTTCTTATTTCTGGGGTTTGACATGACCTGTGACATTTTCATTCTAAATCTAAGATATAGTTGCAGTACTTTGAAAATGGAAATACCTTCTTACATGACTTCTGTTCCAAGGGTCTGGTTGCACAAAATATTTTTATTAATAGTAATCCAATGCATAGGTCAGCTTCATAGGTTTCCCCCACCCCACCCCACCCCACCCCGACTGAATTTAAAGTATTTTAAAATAAAAAAATGTTCTCCAAATATATACAGGTGTATTGTAAAATTTGTTTCAGATTGGAGTCCTATGACAGAAATAATAACTTCTGCCACTCAGAAGATGACATTAAGTTACCTGAGCCTATCCGATTTGAATCATGGCCAGTCACAGGTTTCAAGCAACTGATGCCACTACACAAAGACAGCTTACCGCCCTTGGCCTCTTCGGATGTCGAGGCGTATTTTAGGTACCGGTTAGCTGTAGATAATGAAGAGGTAAGTGTGCAATATATTTCTATGCGTTACTCAAATTTATTGAAATTATTACCAATAGTAACACTAACATTAACAGGTGTGTTTGATAATACATATCCTGTGAAACATACATGAGAAATCTTTTGAATAAATGAGATACTGAAATTAGCAAAATGAAATTATTTGCTTTCAGACTGGAGATTTGAAGGCTATTGAGAAGGGACATCAACTTTTGGAATCCAATCATGTCCTGGCTTGCAGTGTTGTCATTCATCACCATGCCTACTTCAGTGGTCTAGTCAGTGCTGCTATGAAGAAAAAGGTTTGTTACCTTAGAAACAGATTGGTCATAAGTTCCATTCTCAACCACATATTGAATTGTCAGTGATTAATGATTTTAAATTAGTGAGTAATCATTCACAGTTTTGCCATTCATGATTGTACATTTAGGTCTGTAATAAGAAATATTTCACCTTTGTGTAAATAATGTGTCAGTTATACCAAACATTGTCACTTGCAGGAATAATTCATTATATGTTATCATGATGATACTTAGATAACTCTGTATTACAAGTTTTGATTTCCTTGACTTAGGTATCCTACAGTCTTCGCATCATAATAGCAGAATGTGGTGAAGTGGTTAACACACACTGTGAGTGCCCAGCTGGTAAAGGCCCCCATGGAACCTGCAAACACCTCGCTTCTGTCCTCCTCATGTTGTCACAGTTCAAGTCTACAGGTGTGATTGCTGTGAGGCGATCCTGCACAGACAAACTGCAGACATTCCACAGGCCACAAAAGGAATATTCAGGTACCTTACCATGTTTACTGTGTAGTAAATATATTGGTATTCAAAGTGCTTATACAGCATGTTAGAATGAATTAATTATCAAGTTTTTTTGTGTCAATTGTTTTCTTAAAATGAGGAAATTTTTATATGGTTTGAAAAAATAGATATTCTGTTCAGCTGCAGACATTAAAATAAATTAAGTACCCCTTGGTTATATGTTCATATTTATTAGAATTAAATATACAGAGTGATTAATTATTCCATGACATATGAAACTGATCTTTCTGCTAATGTATTCAGTAGGCATTGCTCGTATAGCTTAGCCATAACTACTTAAAAGCCTCACAAGCTATTTCTGCAGTGTGTGATCACCCTTTCAATTGTTTCCCCCGTGACAGGTTTGGCATATACCCCAAATTATGAATTGTCTGAAATTATGACAATTTCACTTCCTGTATTTATCAAAGAGAAAATACTGCTTATTTGCTGTTTCTACATTCAAATATTATATACTGAAGTGTCCCAGTATTAGTAATATATTTTCAGCCAAAAAATTATTCCTCTTTTTTTTTTTTGCCTCTTAATAGATTCACCGAAGAAAGCAGACTCATTCAAGTGTGGGGCGAAGCGACCAACCATGTTTGATGACCCAAGACCGGCAAAATACAGAAATAGTGCATCTTACAGGGACCATGTGCGAAACATCACCATCAACTACTGCTCTTCAGCATCTAAGGATATCACGATCAGATACCTGTTTGAAAGAGCCAGTCTGTCATCTGCAGTAAGAGATCATGACTATTTGGACAAGCCCTTCACAGAATACTGGGTGGAGAGAGCCTTGAAGGTATTTTACACTCATGTTTTCCGTAATGAAGAAATCTTCAATCCTGAGTTTTATGCATTCTCACAAATCACTATATTAAGTTATTATATTTTAGGCTTTCAATAGCTACTGCTTATTGCATTCAAATAAATAATTCACTTTTTTCTAAAAAAATGCCTGCTATTATTCATTTCATGGTTAGTTCATTTCTTACTGCAGAAGACACAATATCTTCAGACGTTGCAGTGTAGTAGTTGATGGTTAGGTTGAATTGCATGCAAATGGATTTCTTCTGGTCCCTTGGAGCTAGATACGATATGGTTAAACTGCTTTAGCCATGTTATCTGATTGAATTGTTTTGTTCTGATTTGTAAAGGAGTTTCAAGAATTTTATTGATAAGTTTTTGTTTATTTATTTTTATTCTGTCTATCTTTGACAGATTACAGATGACCAGGCTGCAGACTTAGAGTCAAAGACAAGAAAGCAGGCCAAGTGTAGCTTGTGGCATGAGGAGAGGAGATGGAGGCTTACCGCATCTCAGTTTGGGACAATTTGCAAATGTACTACAAGGAGAAACAAAACTAAATTATGTGAACAAATTGTCTCTGGAAGAAAACTTGTTTGTAACTCTGTGAGGCATGGGTTACAGCAGGAACCCAAAGCTATTGCCAAACTTGAAATAGCCTGTAATGTTCATGTTCATAGTTGTGGAATGTTTGTCGACTCTGAACTCCCTTTCCTTGCAGCAACACCAGACGGTGTCATTGATTCTAACACCATTGTTGAGGTTAAATGTCCTTACAGTGCCAGAAATGAGGTCATTGCTCCTGGGAAACTCTTTCCTTATCTTTGTAAGAGAAATGGCCTCATGCAACTGAAAGAAAACAGTAATTACTACTTTCAAGTGCAGGGTCAGATGTATCTATCAAAGCGAAAATACTGCTTATTTGCTGTTTGTACGTTTAAAGACTTCTTTGTTCAGAAAATATCACTCAATGAGGAATACTGTACAGGAAGTTTGATTCCCAGACTCTCATTATTCTTTGAGTCTTTCCTCAAGCCTTACATTGCTACTCACTGCATTTGTTAAGATTCATGAACAGACATCCTTTTGGGGATTAATACATCCATGTGAAGACTGTGTATCTAAAAAGTACTAAGAGTCTTTTGAAACTTACTTTTGCCTCACTTTTCAAAAATTATTTGAAAGCAGTGACTTTTCACAGTTAAGGAATATAAATTTCTTCTTTTCAACTATTAAAATCTGGTGATGAGAATGATACAAATGAGTACCGCTAGGTATATCCCTGATTGACACCATGTGTAAAGTACTTACTTCTATTCTTAGCTGTAGCCTACAGCAGTTTGATGAAGATTATAACATAATTGACAAGGCCCAGGCTGTTATCATGGTGTAAATCATGGTGTAACATTTATACTAAGTTATCCTATAATAATTAGATCCACATCAAGTGCTTTTATGAGTTACCATGGTGTAATATTTATATATCATTTCATATAATAGTTTAGCAAGTAATACTTATCATCAGGTAAAATGCATATATAAATATTACACCATGGTAACTCATAAAAGCACTTGATGTGGATCTAATTATTATATGGAAAACTTAGTATAAATGTTACACCATGATACTGTATTCAGACCCAACCAGTTCAATATATATGCATATACTACTGTCTTTTTGTGTACTTTTCTGAAGCTTTTGACACTGTTTGATTCTTTTATATCACTTGTAACCCTGAAGTATATTGGAATAAGGGGTAGGCCTAATGGAGAAACTGTAGGCCCAAACATGTTAGCTGAAGCAGTGAGATATACTCTTGCAATATAAAATTACAAAATACAACCAGTCATCCAGAAGCTATGACTGCTATCACACCCGAGTTCCCAGAGACTCAGTGGTTATAGATGGTGATACATTTATCAAGGAAATTATCAGCTTGTAAAACATCTTTGAACAAATCTGTCATCTATGGGTATAGGGACTGATGTCTATTTCGAACACTGACCTTGGGAATGTGGTGGAGCTCCTTTGCAGGGAAATTACATGACTGAATGTCTGTCTGACAACCGTGTGATGGTGTTGTACTATTGCATTCATTGTTAAAGTGGTAAGAGAGAGAGATCCTAAGCACAGATCAACCAACAATGTGAGACATTCAATGGTATTTTTTCATTATGTATTCAATGGTATTTTTTCATTACCGTTACCCGGTATGTAATATCATGGCCCTTCATGGGTACAGTGCTATGTACATATATTCATCATTTCAATTGTTAAAACACAATAAAGTTGTTATATTTGAACATTTCTCACACATTCCAGTTGTACTTTCAAGTTTAAGTTTGCATTCAGAATTCAGCCCAAAGTACGGTTACATGTTTGTCGCTAAAAATTGATCCACAATCTATAAACATTTCTACATAAATATGCTTACTTTGTGTGCATAATCCACAAACATCCTTGTACTATAACAACCGCGTTATCTGTACTTGTGTTAACAGACAATGATCTCATGTGTACACTTAAACTGTCTGAACTTGTGAATAACCCCACATACCTGGTCCATAACCAATGACTGGCACAATCATTCTGTCAACAATAAACACAACTCTTAAAGATATGTTTGCAGTATATATAAATGTGAGCAAAATATTCATGGCTATACAGGTTGTTGTGCTAATGTATTTCTAACCAAACCCCATTAAGACTTTGGGGTGTCAAATATCCACAAGCACTTGTATGCTGATACAATTTAAAGTATTTCACCTTTGAACCACCATTTTTCAATTTGTTTGAAAAGTCCTCCTCTGCAAAATACAATCATAATTGTTTCATCTAAATTTACATTCATAACATATTTGCCACAAAAGCTTGCTACATCTGATTTCTGCAATTTGACAATAGCGTCACTTGCATTCACAATGCCATCAGCAAACATCAATGTTCTAATTTTATCAACTAACTCATTCACAAACATACCTTTGCAGTTTCCGGATTGTATTAGTTGAACAAGATCATTAAGGAACAGAGTAAACAGTAATCATACAGCAGTGAGCCGTGTCTAATACCCACCATACAGTCACAGTAGACAATCACACCTGTCTACTAGCAGTAAACTGTTGTACTTTCAATGCTATGAACAGACCTCACACTAGGACATACAAACATACATGAATGTGTGAAGTATGTTTAGAATGGCCATTTGTTCATGCAAGTCGGTTGACAATGCTTGGGCGAAAGTTTGACAACATATAGCAAATTCGAACAATTCTAGAGCCTAGTGGAACTTTTGATGGATGAAGCTCCCTCTTAAGAATTTTGTAAGTTTTGCCAAGTCCAATAACACGCTCAATATGAATTCTCTTGGATGATACTCTGCGGTCGTGGACTACCTCTTGGGGTTCAAGCTGACTTCGACCCTTGAGCATTGTTGGAGTGTTGACTTTTACATCTGAAGATGAAAATATGTCCTGCACCATAATGCCTCTGTCCGCCATAATACTGTCTCTTGCACAAAACACACCTGGCATGCACAACTCTGACCTCTCAATAATCTGCCTGTCACTTGTTGATCCACCATAACTGTCACTGACATAGGTAACAAGACCTCGAGGAGAACAACCAATCATAGTTTTCAGAGTGTTCCTGTTCTTGTACCTTGAGAAAGTGGCCCTCTGGTAATCTACATTGCCTGGCTTACAAATCAGAGTCTCAGTTGCATCTAGAATGACCCTTGTTGATGGGAAGCGCTCCTTGAAGTTTTCTGGCATTGTATCTTGAACGGTGTCATGTGATGCCCATATGTTTAGCTCAGTCAGTTGGAAGTGTAACCTTAGGTTCCGGGTACTTTACCCTTCTACCTATGGTCACTTCTACCTATCAACTACTCCTTGGTTCTAGGGATGATGTAGCTCTCTTGAAAATCACAAGTCCGATGGTTTGCTCCAGCCTCTTTTTATTTATGATAGAATTAATCATAAACATGTACACATGGTCCTCAGATTAGTTCTTGTTGTTGCCTGATATAAATACAACACATACCTATATGATGGTTGAAGAGCCTGATGGTTTTTCTGATGAACGTTACCTCTACTTCTTTTCTGACTCGGGATCCCAAAATCACAGTGAACCTTTCTGTTCAGCTGTCTCCTCCCGACTCCCCGCACCACTCTCGGACAACTCCCTAAATACTATCCATGATAATTTTTGCTCCCCACACCGAAATAGTATTTGACGTCATGTGAAATGAGTCCTAACGCTCCCCTCCATATGAACCCCAATTTCCGTTCCAATCAGTTCTTCTATCAAGCCCTTCTAAACCAAACCTTCAGCTAATTTCCTAACTCATTGGTCAACCGATAAACTCTTAATAACATACTCATAATTCAACCTCTTTATGACAAAAATCCAACACTCTGTCAGACTGGAAAGCGTCTTAAAGATGCTTAATCATGTTAATCAGACATTCCAATCAAGCAGTAGTAGTGAGAAATATTCGATCATTTCAAGACTGACAGTTTGTTCCATCCATTCATTTCCCCTCTGATACTTATATTGCAAGACCAGATTCTGCTAATTTCATTGTACTAATGAAAATGTTATCTCTATCACTAAGAGAAGTAAAATCGATAATCATTTGCCCTGGGGGTTATGCCCTCACCCCGTACGGTCACTTCTCTCATATGCATCCATATTTTACCCAAAAGCTCAATTTAGTAAACTACATTTTAAGTAAATATTAAAAACCCTTTTTCCAAAATACCCTGGTTACACATGCCCTTCCCGTTGTAGAGCATGTCCCATGCGATTGACCAATGATAATAAAATATAAGATGTAAATACAATGGTACAATATCAATATGTAACAAGATGTGTATGTATGTATCTGAGGACCAGATAAATCAATATAATAAAATTTTACAAAGTAATGTCTCAGATAGGATCTGTCTTGGGTTGTACCTATCTGAGAATAACATCTGAAGCTTATTAAGATATAATCAAATTATCATTCTTTGTAAAGGTTTCAGGTTTATAAAAAAAAATTTCTTCGGTAGATGCAGATAGTCAGATTCTCAACGCTTAACTTCAGGTATATATATATAGACATATGAGCATTTTTTTTTTTCTTCAGGCACAACAAATCACAACACCAACTAACAACTTATCATCAATGTCCTAATCATGTATCCTTAGTACTCCCTAGATTAACCAGTCCAAGTCGTCAGGGTTAACTCTAAAGTGTAGACCTGAGTCTGATGAAGCGTCACTTTCGCTGTCACTGTCACTATCAACTACCTGTATATTAGGGACCACAACAGGAGGTGGACTTGCTCTTATTGGGAAAAATCCACCTCGAATAAACTGGTCTGAATAAGGCCAGTGATGTACCATCAAATGAGAAAAATTTACGAGGAAAGCGGCTCTCCACCATCTTGTAGAATGAGGCTGCTCATCCCTACAAGTCCGATAGTGGAAAGTTTGACTTTCCGAAGCGTTAGGAAATTCTAACTGATATTCTGAGATGGTTGCATAAAAGTCCTGATGTTCGAGAGGATCGTCCATCTGGAGTTCTGGAATGAGGAATTGGAACTCATTCCCTATCATTCCAAATGCCATGCCATCTGGAAATAAACTTCGGACCACCTCACAAGCATAGCTGGTGGTAGTCCCGGACCTTCTTTGGGCCTCAAAATAGGGTAGTGCCAGAGTATCTGATATATCCCCTCGTATATTAGCATCCATCCTAACCTGACATACTTCACACCGAAGTGCATTATTGCTATCAACAAACAAATGTCCATTGTCCTGTTCTGTCATCCTGCCTAATGTGCCAGCAATACTATCCCTTAACACAAACTTGACCTTTTTGGAAATAATCAACACATGCATGGCACATGTTGCATGGTACATGCGTTTACACCACGCACAATGCTGTACTTCGTAGCCCTTACTTGCATAAGGGTCTACATCAAGCAAGTCCTCCAGGCAATATCCACACCTTTTCCAGGTATTGTGGAAAGGGAAATGATCATTGTGGGCAAGTGGTGTCCACCGCAACCTAAGCTGAATGTTTAAATTACCTTCATCCCCAAATACACAAAACTTATTTACTTGATCAGTAGTATACCCAGCTCCTCGCAAGTAAGCATAGAAGGGCATCAATTTTTTTCGATAGGGTGAAGCATAACATATGATTAAAGAATCTCCTACATTAGACGGTGTCAACATGCCGACTAATCCCAACTTAACAATATCAAAGAAGCCGAAATACATCCCATATATGACCATGGTTATGGGTCGAATTTGAAATTTTCGGTACCGTCTATTTTTCATAGTGGTGGCGATGGGCAACCGGTTGTCGAAAATAGGTTCCTTTAAATCATAAGCGAAGATTGCCAAAATCTCCTCATGAATATATGGAGATATCAGTTCTGGTACCTCTAAATAAATAACTTCAGGCATGTCAACTTCACTTAAAGTCAACAGTTGTGCAAAGAACAAGGACCATTCAGCCCATGTCCTCACCTGTCTCTGCATAATGGTGACAGTTTCACCATGATTGGTGGAATTTTTAAAAGCACCAGTAATCCTATTTCTGTTCATTTTTAGTCTATAGGTAATTGATGATAACTAAATACAATATAATTACTCACAATACTGAGATATATATAGCAGGACACAACAATGTCTTACACGGACGTCTAACTATTGGAGGTGTACCCCTGTGGTCAACGACCGGTGACTAGCCAAGCAAGTGCGTGATAAGCGATAAGTGAAATATGCGTAATTGTATGCGATATGCTCTAAAGAGATAATTGGAATCACAAACGATATCACAAATTGCACTAAACTTCGGGGTACGAGCTAGCCACACCAAACCCCCGTGAACTATCATGGCACGTTTAAAGCGTATAGTCTGATTGCGGCCAAGCAGTTCTATTTACATTTGCAATCAGACTGATTAGGTTTTTGCATAACTTGCCAGTATGTAGACTACGGTATATTATATACGTTGAGAACATTCATTTTGTTTAGGTATCATTTTAACTACTTCAAAGCAAATAGCTACAGTATCTATATCATGCTTCATAATCAACACCTCAATTTAAAACACACAACAGATTACTATATTTTTTTTTCAACACAACATCAACTTAATGTTACATTTCTGAGCATGCATTTATATAGGGTACTACCCAATGTTCCCTTTTTGATGGTTACGGTCCATCAACAAGTATTGAAGACATCAAACATGCCACAACATACATATTTCTATCAGTAAAATTGCTCACAAATATTTCTGTATATAACATCTGCATCTACCAATACAGTATACATTTTTAAACAATCACAAAACAACCTGCGATGCAATGCAATGCACCTTATTCAATATACCTGTAACATATAACAGATATATCTTCTCTCATAAATTCAATACATTTTATCATCAATTCATAAGTACACACATTTGTATACCATATATTCATGTATACAACATCTATAATATAATCAACATCTGGTCTAATCAACATCTGGTCTAATCAACATCTTTGAATACAATATAACATCAACATTTGTACAAGAGGACACTAGTATGTCTGAGATCACTTAGATTTCTAAAACTGTGACATTTCAATGCTCTCTGGTCTCTGCGGAACTGACGGATAAATTAATTTTACATCCCCAACAGCAGCTGTTTGAGTAGCGACGGTGCAAGATAGTGGAGCAGAAGGTCTACCCGATTCGTTAACAACTATGGGATATTGTACGTTCCCATGTATCAGAGAAACAATTGCTATGTATTCCTCATCCATCATTCTGGTCAGTCTACCTGCCTTAACCCATGATAGAGATACCTTCCTGGGTAGCTCTATACGCTCATTAGTGATGGTATTTATCAAACTCGGCTTGTTATTTTCCATGTATCAGAGAAACACTTGCTGTGTAGTCCTCATCCATCATTCTGGTCAGTCTACCTGCCTTAACCCATGATAGAGATACCTTCCTGGGTAGCTCTATACGTTCATTAGTGATGGTATTTACCAAACTCAGCTTGTTAGGTCCCATGTATCAGAGAAACACTTGCTATACAGTCCTCATCCATCATTCTGGTCAGTCTACCTGTGCGGTAACCCTGGTAACCCTGGTTACAGAAGTACAAAAAGTTTGTCCATGTGAGAATTAATGTTGATACAGTACTTTCACTGATATGAAACAACATGGAAAGGTCAAAATCATCTCTTGCCTGTCTGAATTTTAACAAAGTCATAAAAAGCTGATCTTCTGGTGGTATCAAAGAACACTGATATGAAAGATGATTGACAGAGGGGCCAAGTACATGAAAGAAATACATAAAATGATCATAATTGTCAAAACCAGTGTAATACAAAACTGCTTTGTCATTATCAGTTATGTGATGAATCGAGAATCTGGAGTTCGATTCAAACAACAAGCTGCACTGTATGGCCACATCTTCTGTATGATCAACAGCATATGACTGACAAATAATTTCATCGCATCCTGGTGAACAAATTTCAACCTCACTTCCCAGATCAGGAACATCTTCCACATCTATAACATAGTGTCTAGGTTTCCTTGGTTCATTCACTTTCACTGTTGGTATTGCACCCCTCTTCAATCGTCTTTTCTTTCCTGAAAATAAAATATATAGAATTATTTCAAAATATCGTCAATTAAGGTTTTATCGTAATAAGGAATTTAGTTATTGTTCACATAATAACAATAAACATGGTAAATTCATGAACAAATATTATCAATGAGGACATAAGCAAATTATTCCAAAACATTGAGCAGAATTTTAAAAAAGGTGTTTATTTTAGTTGGGACAAATTTACGGTAATGAAATAATATTATTATTATTAAGATAACTTCATTTAATAGTATAGAACTCTATAATAGTAATAGAACTATATTTGGTCTACTCCTAAATAGATAGAACATCCACTTCAACAGTTTTTTGCATATAAGCCTACTCAAGACTGGCATAACTTCAGGGTGGGAATAATTTAAATAGATTCTAATTATGTAAAATTTAATTAAACACGTAAAAAAGAATTGACTGAAAGTCCTTCATAGCAATACATATAATTAATATTAGGACCAAAAATATTATTTATTTCAGTAAAATGCGGCACAGAGGACGACTGACATATTTTTTTCTGCCAATATTTGGGTGAGCCCAATATTGTGCACCCAGATAAAAAAAAAACATACCGTGACTAATACACTATATTCATGATTGATTTACATATCAAAATTACTGAATATTGTATTGCATTTGGTAGGTCACCAATACCAGATTCTGAGGTAAAGGACAAAAATAACATCAGTCCGTTCATTCGGTTACTAACTTCGTTGCTAATGACGCTTACCAGTGTCCGATGGCTTGTAGTCGCTGTCAAGGAAGTGATTACGACAAACCACTGAGTATGGACTTGGTTTCCATAATTTCTTGGATGCCGGATCCTCTCTTCTAATCGCCACACGCCATTTTATGCAAATATCCGGATCTTGAGGAAAACCGTGGCCGTCAGAACGACTGTCACATTGCGGTACGCAACAGCGCGAAGGCATTTTGTATGTAAACAATAGCATACGGAGCTAGCAACAAGGACGGAAATTCCGCAGCGCCCCCTGGGCCGCTGTTTCGTACCGGTGTTTGCCATTGCGTAGATCGATGCTCATAATGTCAATCAATGGATTGTCTGGGTCAGACTCGATTATTTACAGACCGCCGTCATATAGCTGGAATATTGCTGTTGTTTGTTTGTTGTCTAAAGTCGCACTGAATCAAGGCGGCTCCAATCAACTTTACAATCACCATACAATTGTACTATTCCAATTGCACTAACCGATCTTGGCGCGATTGTAAGACGGCTTGGATTTAAGAGTGCGTTCAAAATCTTCAACGGTGGAGCTGGGATTATCCTTAACTCGACTACTGTCTACAGTTGTCTGCAAGCTTGCTGCGCATACAATAAGTGGAACCGGTAACGGCACACAACAGTACCTCCCTCCATCGCACCTTGCACAGTTTTAGCAGTTTTAGGTCCCAATTATTTGAAGGAAACGATTACTAAAAGGACGGCATATATTTTTGTCGGCATTAACACTGTCGTGATTTAGGAATTGTTTGATATTGCAACTTGACTCATTGACTATTGAACACCGACTCATGTTGTATTTAAAGTATTGAAATACGGATAAATACATAATTTAGGAGGGTGAACATGGCAGACAAGGTGAGCACCCTTCACAGTGTACCTTACATGCGTCATGCTCATGTTTGTGACATAATTATTATGAAAATGAAATATATAATAATATGTCCTAATAACATAACAAGTAAATGTATGACCATCTGTAATGGGGAGCTTTTCGAAAGATAAAAAATATATCCTTCAATTGTTTCGTTTCGCTGCTTAAAACAAAGGATGTTATGATTTCCTTTTCAAAACACAGAAAGGATTTCAAGAATGCATGGACGGGAAATAAAAATAATGAAGAATGTTTCGAGAAAGCAGTTGTTTAAAATCTATTCACTGGGTATAAATTATATTTTTTAAAAAGTGTGAATTTCACTTTTGCTATTTATGGGATAAATGTACATAAATCTCAAAGGTCTCATCCTGTGTATTTGCTTGTTTGATGAATACTTGTATTTTTTCTTTTAAATTCAGATATTGATTCCACTCGTCCCCGTCACGAATGTGACCCAAAAGAAATACAGGGGGAGCTCAGCAATTCTACATCATCAATACACTGGGCAAGGTAGATTCTACTCTACGGGCTTATACAAAGGGGAACCACTCCCATCTTGAGTATAAACTATGATTAGCTGCCCTTGAATTATCCGAAAGGTCACGGACGTTACAAATCGATTGCAGACGACTTAGGTTTTTATTACCCACGTGGTGAAAATACAGGTGGTAAGAGACTAAATTCGTACGTCACACGTCAAGTTTGACCTTGTTTTATTCGTTTTGATTGGATAACCGTGACCTCTGTCACACCGGGACTATTTTTTTCATTCATAAAAATTCGCGAGACGTCATTCATTTTGCAACTACAGGGCAGAACTGAAGCAATCTCATATGTGAGCGAGGGATGTTAACAAACACTCTATTAAACAAAACAAGATTGTCACACGCATCAAATTCGGTTTGCATCCTATATAAGTAATGCATTGAGCTTCCACAGACATTATATAATCGAGCTATATCCATTTACAATATACGACTACCGTTCAATAGATCGAGGGTCCCATTGAGCGTGACGCACCCGACTAATTTCGCAACTTCCAATTTGATTTAACGTAAATGGATAAGCGTGGTGAAATGAAGTCAGTTTAAACTATCTGGACAGATATCTAGACTTACTTGGGATGGTCCGGTTGTGCCATCAGTGTCCTCTTCGGAGCGTATTTTGTGGCACTGTTTCGGGAGTTGTTTGTTCACGACTGCACAACCAGATCACTCAAAGTGAACATTTCCGATACAAATCATTCGAAAACTCCGTAGAAGTATGCCTGATTTCTGATTATGTGGCCCAAAACTAGCGTAAAACGCTGAGTAGATCACGGTTGTCTTTTTTCATTCCAGTGGTGACCTTGCCCTTCGTTCGAAGCTGACATGCAAGCAGACTTGAGCGTGTTGATTTTTACGTCTTCAGTAAAGGGTGGTACAGTAAACATGAATGTCTTTGGCGAGTACTCTGATTTCCCTCTTCCAAAATGGTACGGACATGATATAAATTCAGCTGATAGATCAAGGAAACCGAACCATTTTGAATGCACAGACGGGACCCCGACAGTGCGAGTGACCGACTGTTGGTCCGATATTCAAAGCGCGGCGCTAATGTGACTTTTCAAATTTTCTTATAGGTGTCCTGCGTACTGACAACATGGCGCTTGAATTCTCATAAGTTGAAGAAACTTCTTCCAAAAGGATCTTGAGCGTCGGTGCTGTTTTGTTTTCAAACAGAATTCTCTATTTTCTCCTCTCCTTGATAAGCGAAAAGGTATGTTGTTCCACCCTTCTTTCAGCCTTGAGACGGGTGGGAATACTACTTTTAGCTCTCAACACGATGGTTATGTGGTTCACCATCGAAATTAACGATATTTCTGACGTAAAATCTGAAGTGCGTTCTTCGTGTTGTTGAAGTGTCGATTCGAATCATTCAGTTTAACAAAATAAAGAGGGTGATTGAATGTAAAGCAGATTATTTATGTGAAACAGACCCTGTCTTGCACGCCATTTTGTCAAGTTTATTCAGGGACGACAGCGATCTTAGCTACTCCGGACCAATTGTAAGTTTCGATTGAAGCTTTCGATGATCTTAACCTACAATCGCTTTGTGCAAGTGAATGGCGATTGTAGCCGAAGTCTTAAGGATCGACAATAGTTGTAGCGCTAAGATCGCTTTATGTAAGTGCACCCTGGTGCTCGCAAAACGGTGATCGTAGCCTGTCCTAGCGGTGGCTTCCGTGACAAGAGCATACAAATGCACGTCAAGTCTTCACTTGAACAAACACGAGAACATTTGGTAATTAGACTGATGAATTGCTTTGATGATCATTTTTGTCACTGATCGTCAACTTTGGAAATGCTCTCCGCCAAACAATTTCTTGAAAGCTAAACTAAGATTTCGAATGCTGTAACCCTTATCAAGCGACTTTTGAGCAAGAATCGTAAGACGCTCTTTGAAATCGTTGTAAAGATAGAGCTTGCACGAGTGTACCTCAAAAGTGAAATATAGACATAGGCTGGAGCTACGGGAATAATGCTCGACAAAAAGGGAAAACTTAGTCATATCGTGTCATACAGTCGTGTGGAAAGTTTTGTTGTCGCTCACAATATTAATGCATAAATCGAACTATGAAACATATGAGATGTTTTATTGCTAGGTCAGGTGGGTAGATCGGTGTGAAGGAATTAGCTACAACTTGTAGTCAATGTTGAAATATATATTATTGTGTATAACATTGACGGGCAAGTCTTTATTACACAATATAATATCTGCAGGATCACTGTATCTCTGAACCAATGGTAAGAAGTCACCTCAGGTATGATGTTTAAAGATAAAGATGATCATTGCAAAATTCTGAGGTACATATTATTATGCCTACCCAAAGAAAAGAAAACCTAAACGATGAATCGCAGTCTTCTCAGCGCCATATTCATCGTCATCATAATCTGCGGTTGTGGCATGATCAAGTCTCTCATATCGAAATAGTGGTTCGTTACAGCCTGCAGAGACTGTAAAGTAGGATGCCCCATCAAGACTCCATGCAACTGATTCGCCCGATAGTTCTATCCAATAAGGGAGTTGCATGGACTGTTTGGAATCGGTGAGGACCTTTTCCATATCTTCTTCTGCGTGAACATACCAGTAGAATACCTTCTTTTTGAACATGATGAGGAATCCTTTACCATCTGAAGATATATCGCCACTACTCGGAGCGTGGCGTGAGTTGCCCTTGGGTAAGGCAACATCAAAGAGGTGTTTAGCTTCATTTTCAATGATTTCATAAAATCTTCCAGGTTTTTTGTAATAATCCATGAGAAAGATTCTTCCTCTTGGTGAAACCATGAGTGTCTTACTATTTTTCAAGGTGGATCTGAAACATCATCAAAATGAATACCTTATCAGAAATTCAAAAGATTTCTTGGCATCAGAAGGAATATTTTTCCTTAAAAATTGAACTTTACTGTTTATTTACCAATATCACTTGTTGAAATACACAATCGCAAATTGACGACAATGATAACGCAGTTATATGAACTTATATATTATCAATTGCTGTGCATTCTTGTAATGCTTGTCGTAATCGGCATCGGGTGGTCAGACTCGTTGATGCTTATGATGTCATGCACTGGATTGTCTGATCAAAACTCGATTAATTACAGAGCACCGTCATATAGCTGGAATATTGCTGAGTGCGGCGTTAAACAACAAACATGATGATGATGATGATGATGATGACAAAGAAACAAACAAAACATTCTAGTTTTGGCTATAAGTAAAAATCGCCGTTTTCATCACAACCAAAGGGTGATCAGGACATTATGACCGTCATTAATTTTTATACCAAAATCTTTTCCCATAGAATACATATAATCGTCTGTAACATGACCAAAAGAATAAGTTCAAACTCTGTGATTGCCCCCCCCTGTAGTGAAGCCTGATGGTGTTATCAATATTTTTGGTTGCATTTTGGAAACCCCGAGTAAAAACGCAACATAAAAAACGAATCGCCAAAACGCACCATTACAATGAATATGTGGGTATCATGCACCCATTTCTCGCGAAATCGAAAATGCAGGAACTGTCACGAACTGTAGTGGGTATAAAACTGGGGCCGATTCTTGGACCTACCACTCCTTGGTCAACAATGCCACGCCTAACTCAAATTCAGAGAAACCAGGCTATCGGACGTTTGGAAGCTGGTGAGTCTTCCAGAATGTTGCCCGTCATTTCAACGTTAACATAACCACATTTTACCGTCTCCTGCATCGATACAATGCTACACGGACCACAGATGACCTTCCTCGGAGCGGTCGTCCTAGGGTCACCACACCTCGACAAGATCGGCAGAAAACCTGTCAACACCAGCGACATCCGTTCCTAACTGCAAGTGAAAGTGCTCGATAGACCACAGGAACACATATCGACACATTAGCCGGGACACTGGGATCCGACGTCATCAACCAAGTCAGCGAGCCTGACCACCCGATCCCGTTAGTCGCCTCTTACCACAAGCGAAGTCGCCTCTTACGACAAGCGTAGTCTCCTTTTACGACAAGCATGGGTTGCTGAAGATATATTCTACCCCCGGATCTTCACGGGCCTTTACAATACAACATCCGTGTTCTACCGTGGCCAGCCCTCAGCCCTGATTTAAACCCTATCGAACACTTGTGGGATGGGGTTTACCCGAAACTGTGTAAGTATAATGTATCAGCTTACTCAAAGCTAATGACGTCTATTTCATCCTCCCCTAGATATAGGTCCTGTCCCTCTGGCAACTCATCTGGTTCCTGCACCTTGTAGATCAGATTAACAGGACCTTCTCCTGTATGTCCAGTATCAGATACATAAATACAATGTCCAAATCCATCCGAATCACAAGGACCACATGCGATATCTTCCCAGTCAATGTTGACAGCATCCAAACTGATCTCGACGATAATTGACCGTTTATTGGTGTCGTATGCGTAGATAATGTTTTCACCTTTTTCATCTTTTTTCCCACCTCGAATGTAGTAGAAGACACCAGGATGTTGACGGCTTGCACATAAACCTGATGTGTCCTCTTCACAGGAAAGTATCACGCCAGCATAGTTACGGTTTGAGAACCCTGAAACAAGTCAAGTAGTTCTTGATCATGCTGACATCATTCAATATTACAGTTCTTAAACGTCTTTAAAAACACGGTTATCAAAACAATTTAGGTTCTTATGTCTTTGATTAGTAGCCATTGTCGAATTGGTTTGAGCATGTCTAATCGCTGAAGTGGTTATTCAGACCGCCGTCATATAGCTGGATTATTGCTGAGGGCGGCGTTAAACAACAGACCAACCAACCAACCAACACTTATGATCATGACATCGTAAAATAGCTGACATTATACCGTGTTATATCATAACATAAAGTTCTTTTACCTAAAAGCAAGATGTTCAAATACATTCATTTAAGACTGTGTTGGATTTACCCTTGGCCTTTCCTGTAAGATTAACTTCGCTCTGTTTCTTGTTGACCCATTCTTCATTCTTGTTTTCCTCCTCTACTGTCGAGATTTCTTGCCCCAGCCGTTGTTCCAACATGTCCATTGAACTCTGTAGTTCCAACAAGTACGCATATCGAGAGGTATAAACATCATTTTGGGCATCTTTCTGTCCACCATGGGTTATTGCCTTGCTTGGAGAAATTGCTTCACCATTTAGGTTTTGAGCAAGGTGCAACCAAAGAAAGAATTTCACTGACAGAAGAATTCTCATTTTGCCCTTCATTTGCAAAGAACTCCTTCGTCAAACAGTAATGTTTGTATTGGTCATTGCTTGCCATAATGGCGAGAGAAAATAGTAATCATATCTTGATCTTGTACACCTAATCACTATAGCTATAACAATACATATAGAAGGAGTGATTTGATCTTTTAAGAGAGGGAACTAATCTTTCATAATTGGTCATAATACGTTAATAGGTTTCACACAGCGCTTGACCCTAAATGACCATACCCATTGATTGTTTGGGTATTTGCTTATTGTGTGATTGATCGAATCGTATTCGTCTTTCTTCACTATTCAAAAGACCAAGACGATTAACGGTTGTTGTTAAACAAATATGTAATAGTTGTAGTGGGAGCAGCCTTTAGGTATTCTGTGTTAGAATTGATCCCAAGTACCGTATGCTTGTCGTAAAAGTCGACTTGAACGGGAATCAGGTTAAATGGGTTTCCTTGCCTCCATGACCTTGCTACTGCTGCCAGAAACTGATTTGCCTGATACAGATACATACATGAAGTGTATGTGTACTCTAAGTATTTGAACTCCCAACCTTTAAACAGCTCAACGAAACCTAGCTATATCCCGTGTTGTACCAATATGGGAATCGAACCCAGTTTCTCAGCATTACGAGTGCATGCATGGAACAAATGAGAGAGAGAGACTCTTTTATATATAACTGACATCTGTATAAACGCAATTGGGATCGATGACATGAATCAACCAAGTCAGCGAGCCTGACCACCCGATCCCATAAGTCGCCTTTTACGACAAGCATAGTCACCTTTAACGGCAAGCATAGGTTGCTGAAGATCTATTCTACCCCGGAATCTTCACGGGTCTGCTGAAAATGGCAGCAGCTGGGCATTACAGATTACTGGGGACTAATTTAAATCCTCATGGATGCAACTTCATGTATTTGAGAGAGAGTTTAGGTTTGTTAAACAATTTAACCACATAAAACACGGATACAAAATTGTGACAAAAACCCTGAAACACATTTTCACCTGTGAGAAAATAATTGACATATTTTATTGTGCAAAGGTTCTATAAATTAGGTTTTGTGAATTGACGTCAGTCTAAAGAACATTGCAGCAGTACTTCCCCCCGACACGTGAAGATTCCGGGGCAGAATAGGACTTCAGCAACCCATGCTTGCCGTAAAAGGTGACTATGCTTGTCGTAAAAGGCGACTAATGGGATCGGGTGGTCAGGCTCGCTGACTTGGTTGATGCATGACTCGATTATTTACAGACCGCCGTCATATAGCTGGAATATTGCTGAGTGCGGTGTTAAACAACAAACCAAACCAAAAAACTTCCCCTCACCTTGTCGTAAACAAAAGCGACACGACTATTTCAATATTCATAAGAAATATTTCTGCCAATTGCACAGTCCATTTTTCGATTTTGAATACATGTTAATGTTTGTTTGTTTGTTTGTTATTTAACGCCGCACTCAGCAATATTCCAGCTGTATGACGGTGTTTCATGTGTTCATGAATCACTTTTAAATGGTGATGATACCAGGTGCTCGCAAAATGGGGAGCGTATCCTGCCCCAACGGTGGTTTCCGTGACAAGAACATGTCAATCACGTCAAGTCTTCACTTGAACAAACACGAGAACATTTGGTTTTTGTTCACGAGAACATTTGGTTGTCAAACTCATGAATTGCTTTGATGATCATTTTCGTCACTGATCGTCAACTTTGGAAATGCTCTCCGCCAAACAAATTCTTGAAGCTTAACTAAGGATTTGAATGTTGTAACCCTGATCAAACGACTTTTGAGCAAGAATCGTATGACGCTCTTTGAAATCTTTGTAAAGAGAGAGCTTGCTCGATTGTACCCCAAAAGTAAAATATAGACATAGGCTGGAGCTACTGGAAAATATATGCTCGACAAAAAGGGAAAATTTAGTCATTCCTCTTGTCATACAGTCGTACAGTGTGGAAAGTCGCTCACAAAATTAATGTCTGGTGTCCCCCGCCGTGATATTGCATGGAATATTGCTTAAAGAGGTGTAAGACCAAACTCACTCACTCACTCACATATTAATGCATAGATCGAACTACAAAACATATGAGATGTTTTATTGCTAGGTCAGGTGGATAAATAAGTGTAAAGGAATTAGCTACAATTTGTTGTCAATGTTCAATTTTATATGATTATGTATAACATTGACGGGTTTAGTCTTCATTACTCGATATATATCTGCAGGATCACTGTATCTCTGAACCCATGGTCCGAAAACACCTCAGGTATGATGTTTCAAGATAAAGATGATCATTACAGAATTCTGAGGTACATATTATCACGCCTACCCAAACACAAGCGAACCAAAGATACCAAACGGAGACATCGCATAGCGATCTTCATCGTCATCATCGTCATCATCGTCATAGTCATCATCGTCATAGTCATCATCATCATATTCATCGTACTCATCTGACACTGCGGTTGTGGCATGATCAAGTCTCTCATATCGATATAGTGGTTCGTTACAGCCTGCAGAGACTGTAAAGTAGGATGCCCCATCAAGACTCCAAGCAACTGATTCGCCAAATGTTTCTGTCCAATAAGGGAGTTGCATGGACTGTTTGGAATCGGTGAGGACCTTTTCCATATCTTCTTCTGCATCAACATACCAGTAGAATACCTCCTCTTTGAACTTGATAAGGAATCCCTTACCATCTACAGATATATCTCCACCACTCGGACCTTCGTGTGACTTGCTCTTGGGTAAAGCCACATTAAAGAGGTATTTGGCTTCATATTCATCGATTTCATATAACCCTCCAGGTTTGCGGGAAGAATCCATGAGGAAGATTCTGCCTCTTGGTGAAACCATGAGTGTCTTACTATTCTTCAATGTGGATCTGAAAAGATCAAAATGGATACCTTTTCAGAGATTGAAAAGATTTCTTGGCAGTAGAAGGAATGTTGTTCCTAAGGAACTGAACTTAACTGTTTATTTTCGCATATCATCTGTTGAAGTACACCGTCGCAAACTGACTACAACGAGTGAGTGAGTTTGGTTTTACGCCGCTTTTAGCAATATTCCATCAATATCACGGCGGGGGACACCAGAAATGGGCTTCACACATTGTACCCATGTCGGGAATCGAACCCGGGTCTTCTGCGTGACGAGCGAACGCTTTAACCACTAGGCTACCCGACCGCCCCGACTACAATGATCACAGTGGTATATGAACTTGTATATTTTGGTAATGCTTTGTCGTAAGAGGCGACCAACGGGATCGGGTGGTCAGGCTCGTTGACTTGGTTGATGCATGTCATCGTTTTTCAATTGCGTGGATCGATGCTCATTATGTAAATCACTGGATAGTCTAGTCCAGACTCGATTATTTACAGACCACCGTCATATAGCTGGAATATTGCCGAGTGCGGCGTTAAACAACAAACAAATAAACAAACAAAACAGTCTAATGGAGGCTATACGTTAAAATCGCCCTTTTCAACACTACCAACAGGTGATCAGGACATTATCACCGTCATTATTTCTCTGCAATAATGGTTTCCATAGATTAGATATAATCGTCTGTAACATGACCAAAAGTATAAGTAAAAAAAAAACATGGTTTCATAAAAAAACATGAATTTAGACAAATATCGATCACAGCTTTTAATCACAATAAACATCTCTGATTGAAACAGATGGTTTTCAAATCATGATACATAGAATTTCACGTTACAAAACGACAGTTGCTGTAACAACAACATTGAAAGTTCGAAATTTTCGGCAGAAAAACCCCAGATCGACTAAGAGTGTACATTTCAAGTTTTAGGAACAGAGACCTTCAAATTGACGTTTTTCTTTAACCGACTGTGACGACATATGAGCAGTGAGACATCGTACTAGTGACGTGCCGTGTAGATCTAAACTTTATGGAAGCCCACTTTATGTTGGCTTCATCTAACCGTGTTAAATTGAATTTTGAGCAGTGAGACATCGTACTAGTGTCGTGCAGTGTAGATCTAAACTTTAGGGATGCCCACTTTATGTTGGCTTCATCTAACCGTGTTAAATTGAATTTTTGAGCGGTGAGACATCGTACTAGTGACGTGCAGTGTAGATCTAAACTTAAGGGATGCCCACTTTATGTTGGCTTCATCTAACCGTGTTAAATTGAATTTTTGAGCGGTGAGACATCGTACTAGTGACGTGCAGTGTAGATCTAAACTTTAGGGATGCCCACTTTATGTTGGCTTCATTTAACCGTGTTAAATTGAATTTTGAGCGGTGAGACATCGTACTAGTGACGTGCAGTGTAGATCTAAACTTTAGGGATGTCCACTTGATGTTGGCTTCATTTAACCGTGTTAAATTGAATTTGGAACCGTGTGCGCCAGTGAGGTTTCAAATGTTAAATCTAGCATGGTTGAACCGACAGGTAAGCTAGCTCTACATTGACAACACATTGTGCGTATCTCTAAAATATTCTGTTGAACAATAACATACAATACAGCATCAAAATGTAACTCGTGACAATCAGTTCAAACTCAATACACCAATTGCAATATTCAATATATGCCAATTTCAATAGCAACATATATAATTATTTGGAAAAACACTAGTGTAATAAGAAAATTAAAAAAAGAAAGAGGTCGATATTGTTTTACGACCGACTCTCAAGGAGATTTTTGAAAAAATATCTGTAAACATGTAAAAGGTAATGCTTGACCAAAGTACAGCGAATCAGCTTACTCAAAACCGATGACCTCGATTTCGTCCTCCCCGAGAGACAGTTTACGACCCTGTATCACTTCCTCTGGTTCCTGCACCTTGTAGATCAGATTAACAGGACCTTCTCCTGTATTTCCAGTATCAGATACATAAATACAATGTCCAAATCCATCCGAATCACAAGGACCACATGCGATATCTTCCCAGTCAGTGTTGACAGCATCCAAACTGATCTCAACGATAATTGACCGTTTATTGGTGTCGTATGCGTAGATAATGCTTTCACCTTTTTCTTTTTTTTTCGCGCCTCGAATGTAGTAGAAGACACCAGGATGTTGACGGCTTGCACATAAACCTGATATGTCCTCTTTACAGAAAAGTATCACGCCAGCATAGTTACGGTTTGAGAACCCTGAAACAAGTTAAGTAATTCTTGATCATACTGACATCATTCAATATTACAGTTCGTGAACGTCTTTAAAAACACGGTTATCAAAACAGTCCTGTTTTAAACACTTGAGGTTCTTAGGTCCTTGATCAGTAGCCACTGTCGAATTGGTTAGAGCATGTCTAATCGTTGAAATGGTTATTCAAATTCTGGAAAGCTCCGCTTCAACTAACCATGTCAATGTGTAACCTTGCTTAGGATCGATGTAATCACCTTTGAAAGCTTATAACACAGCGAAGTTGTAATATTATTCCTTTGGAATGACACCCAAGGTTTTGTAATTATGATCAAATTGTCTCAGACAGGTACAGTTTGAAACTTTCTTCAAGTTATGCCAGCAGTGTCATTCCATGATTGATCATATGCAAGCACACATTATTCTTATCGGCTTCCAATCGAGCACGTAGTTTATTCTTATTTCATTTTATGGCCCTACAAGCTTGTCGTAAAAGGCGCTGACTTGGTTGATGCATGTCATCGTATCCAAATTGCGTGGATCGATGCTCATGATGTGAATCACTGGATTGTCTGGTCCAGACTCGATTTATTTACAGACCGCCGTCATATAGCTGGAATATTGCCGAGTGCGGCGTTAAACAACAAACAATCAAACAAACATGATGTAAATCAGTGGATTGGCTGGTCCAGACTTTACAGACCGTCGTCACATAGCTGGGATGTTGCTGAGTGCGGCGTAAAACAACAAACCAAACCAAACCAAAACAAGCTTGCTCATTACAGATATGTCCTTCACAGACGCACTTGGTGAAACAAGTGATATACCCACAATGGGCTTTTATTGAAGTTGGTAATGGAATAAGTTACCGACTGTATCTGAACAATTTAAGAGCTGGTTGGTATTTTAAGAGATACTGTCGTACTTCCAACCACTAGTGTCTGTACACTAGACACAGTTTTGTTCATGACATCATGAAATACCTGATATTATGCCGTCAAAACATAAGCTTTTTTTTACCTAAAAGCAAGATTTCCAAATACATTCATTTTGACTGTTTTATTTACCCTTGGCTTTTCCTGTAAGATTTACTTCACTCTGTTTCTTGTTGACCCATTCTTCATTCTTGTTTTCCTGCTCTACTGTCGAGATTCCTTGCCCCAGCCGTTGTTCCAACATGTCCATTGAACTCTGTAGTGCCAACAAGTACGCATATCGAGAGGTATAGACATCATTTTGGGCATCTTTCTGTCCACCATGAGTTATTGCCTTGCTTGGAGAAATTGCTTCACCATTTAGGTTTTGAGCAAGGTGCAACAAAAGAAAGATCTTCACTGACAGAAGAATTCTCATTTTGCCCTTCATTTGCAAAGAAGCCAACTCCTTCGTCAACACAACATACGTGGACACTAATGTTTGTACTGGCCAGTGGCGAGAGAAAATAGAAGTCATATCTTCATGACCGTGTACACTTAATCACCATACCTATAACAACACATAAAGAGGGAGTTATTTGATCTTTTAAGACAGGGAACTTATCTTTCCCAAATGGTCATAATACGTTGATAAGTTTCACGCAGCGCTTGACCCTAAATGACCATACCATGATTGTTTGGATATTTGCTTATTGTGTGATTGGTCGAATCGTATACGTCTTTCTTCACTATTCAAAAGACCAAGACGATTAACGGTTTGACGTTAACCAAAAGTATGTAATGGTTCTAGTGGGACAGTCTTAAGGTATTCTGTGTCAGAATTGACCCCAAGTACCTTATCCTTGTCGTAAACGTCGACCTGAACGGGAATCGGGTGGTCAGGCTGAGTGTGTGTTGTCTCCATGTATTCTCCATGACTCCTGCTGACTCCACCTGTTGGTTGGTTGGCTTGTTGTTCAACGCCATACTCAGCAATATTCCAGCTATATGACGGCGGTCTGTAAATAATCGAGTCTGGACCAGACAATACAGTGATTGACATCATGAGCATCGACCCACGCAATTGTGATCGATGACATGTATCAACCAAGTCAGCGAGCCTGACCACCCGATCCCGTTAGTCGCCTTTTACGACAAGCATAGTCACCTTTTACGGCAAGCATGGGTTGCAGAGGACCTATTCTACCCCGGAATCTTAACGGGTCTGCTCCTGCTGTCAGATACTGACCCAGTTGTTATTATTTTGGGCTGCCTCGGAAAAAGCAAAGGACCATCTCCATGGTCTAGTGTTAGAGCGTCCGCCCGGAGAGCGGTAGACCTGTGTTCGATCCCCGGCCGCGTCATACCAAAGACGTTATACGATGGTACTTGTTGTTACCCTATCTGACACTCGGCATTAAGGGGCTAAAACAAGAACTGCTCGGCTCGGAGTCAGTAAACTGTGTCTGGTGGGGTATCCATGTTAAACTACAGCCATCTATGTGAGCTAGCACTATAACATCGGCATCAGTCAGGACTAGGACTAGTACAAGCAGTCACACACACACACACACACACACACACACACACACACACACACACACACACACACACACACACACACACACACACACACACACTCACTCACTCACTCACTCACTCACACGCGCATGCTATATAAAGGGTCATCTTTCAAGATGGCATCTATTTCCACCTGTTTTAAAATCATGATCATATGCAAGCTTTTCAATGATGTACATTATTCAGTGTACTCCTGTAGTAAACTGATCCCTAACAATAAAACAAATGATGTTCATAGAAAAACTTGAAACATCATTTTTCTTTATGATTTTAGTATTTTGGTGTTTTTAAGCATTGTTACAATTATATCACTCATCCACTACATACCATATCTCATTAAGCAATTTTCGTCAAAAATTCGTTCAGGCATATCTCGATATACAGTTATAGTGGTTTTATTGTAACAATTCAATGGCATTGGTGTTTTACCTACTCACAAGATTTGAAAATGAAGTAAAAAATACATGATTTTTATCAATGTTTTAATAAGAATTACAATAATTAGTTGAATGAATCAAAATGTTTGCCAAGTTCAGATAACCGAGCACATTACCTGTACTGTCATAATTTGGATAGTTTAATGGCGAAAACATTGTTACAGCCAATGTTGTCAAATTATGCATTCTTCCTTCAATTCATGCAATTTTGACCCCCTGAAATTTCGAGCACACACCTGCAAGCTTACCATGAAAATTGCGTGCAGATACCTCCTTTATGCAAAAGAAAAGGTTTAAGAAAAAAGTGGGAACGAAGGTCTTAACTAAGCCTCTTCTCCTCTGGTGGCCAACTGACTATATACAATCTACCTGAAAACTGAAACTTGTCTTAATTTAAGATTTGAAATTTGGTATTTTCTACTGGATTTGGCTATGCATGTCTAAAACAATGTTTTGGAAATGAAACCTATTGTTCAAAAAGAACCATTCATGTTTCTCCCTTCGACAAAAATTGATGTCTTTTCAATTTGATAGTTCAAGATATGACACTTAGAAGCCACTTACGGCCAATATAATATTCATCAAGTTGGAAAAGTAAAAACAAATCCATGGGTCACTGAAATTAGACTGTGTTTGTTTGTTTGTTTGTTGTTTAACGCCGCACTCTGCAATATTCCAGCTACATGACGGCGGCCTAAATAACGGAGTCTGGACCAGAAAATCCAGTGATCGACATCATGAGCACCATACTACGCATTTGGGATAGGTTGTGTTTGAAAGAAATATGAATTAATATTGGACGAAGACAGACAACAGCAAAGTGTTAAAGATGTAAGTGCATTTTGTACGTTTGCTAAAGCCAGAAACGACCTTGTGACCTCATTATAAACAGTGACCTCAGGCATATGTACATGTAAACGTTTCAACGTTTCCGAATTCCGCATTCGCTGACCTCAAGATCATTATGATATTAATGTTAAGTGTTCTTGAAAACATGTTTGGTTTTATGACAGCTGATCAACATTTGCGCCACAGTACAATGTGACACTTTGTGTAAGGTACATGCACCTGACTATTTCACTACATAACAGGAAATGTATGCCAAAATTTCGACGTCAGAGAATATACACTTTCGACTGTTTGCCCAAACAGATTCCATTGGACGTAAAAAGTAAAATAGAGTTTAACTCTATATGAAAGGAGCACTAATAATCAGTGATGGCACCAGATGTTCGCGAAAAGGGTAAGCATGTCCTACATAACGTTGTATGTATGTCTAACATATCGTTTTTAGTTTCAGCAAAATCAGTGAATGAGTTATCCTGTAACAGAACTGCTCGGTCCATCACGTGATTGCCTGGTCGAGACTTGATTGTTCACAGGCCGTCGTATGGCAGGAGCACTGCTGTACCGTCAGTCAACTAAAAACACTTTTATTCAGAGTGTGTGAGTAACGGTTGATAACGTTAGGGCAGGACATGTTTATCCTTTTTGACGAATACCTGGTGTCAGCACAGATCAATTCCTATATTGAAATTATATTTAAATTCACGGTGACAAAGTTTTACACAGTTTTATAAAGGAGAGTTATACACTCCTTAATTGTATATGTATTCACCATTTTGAATAATTTCTGCACAAACGAATGTTGATTTTTTTTTACTTTTCGAGGCTCTTCAAGGTAATTCAACTTATCGAATAACCTATGAAGTAATAACTCCAGCATCAGTCTTGAAAACTCCATGTATTTCGAGCAGACGCAAACATGTGCGCAATGGGGGATTGTGTTGCGAAGTTATCACGGGAGTGTGACGTGCTCAGGTTATCACAATTGCCCTTAGTCAATGACTTTACAAACTGATTAACAACGCTTTATTGGTCGGTCGTAAATGACAGTAAAAGTATCACTTTTGATCGTAAGATATTACCATGTGTGCATCGTGCCTCTGGTAACGTCATGGAACGCAGGTTACGTTGCCATGCACCTCTCTAACACTTGATGTAATGCAGCATGTTTCTGAGCCAAGAAGGCTTTCCATCGTCAGTCTTCATATCCTGTTTTGGATATTCCAATCGTGAATTACCTTTCATGTCGAGCAATGTTCAAAAGGCACCTTATCTTGTTTGTTTGTTGTTTAACGCCGCATTCAACAATATTTCAGCTGTATGACGGCGGTCTGTAAATAATCGGGTCTGGTCCAGAAAATTCAGTGATTGACATCATCCACGCAATTGGGATACGATGACATGCATCAACCAAGTCAGCGAGCCTGACAACCCGATCCCTTTCGGCGCCTCTTACGACAAGAATAGTCACTTTTGATGGCAAGAATGGATTGCTGAAGACCTATTCTACCCCGGATCTTCACGGGTCACCTTATGACGTAATCAATTCTCAATTGAAAGACATTTGTACAACTAAGCTCTCTTTTCTCCATGAAAGGCCTAAAGTCATTCCAGACATTTTATGCCAGTCAGTCAGAGGAATTTTCCAAATATGGCACATCGCTCGTCAACATTATGTGCGATGCTATCCCATGCTACATATCGACCTTTACATATCGTTTTCATAGGTCCTAACCGACTGGCACCTACTTTCCTTTATGAAAAGTGTGTGAGTTGCAGGTGCTACGGGTAGAATTAAGGATTGTATCAATGCTTACCCTTTTCGCGGACTCCAGTGTGCCATTCATATAATTTACAAGTGTGAAGCATGGCTCACGGTAGCGACATAGTGGCAGACCGCCTACACAGTCTAGTGGTAGCGCGTCCGCCCAGAGAGGCGAAAGTCCGGGGTTTGATACCTGGTCGCGACATACAAAAAAACGTTAAAAGATAGCACTTGTTGTTACCCTGTCTGGCGCTCGTCATTAAGGGGCTAAAACAAGGACTGGTCGGCTCGGAGTCAGTATACTGTGTCTGAGTGGGATATTCATGTTAAACTGCGGCATGGTATCTCAATGGGCTAGCAGCTGATTTGGTTGATGCATTGCATCGTATCCCAATGGCGTGGTTCGATGTTCATGATGTCAATCACTGGCTTCTGTGGTCCAGGTTCACAGACCAGCGTTATATAGCTGGAATATTGCTGAGTGCGGCGTATAACAACAGACATCACTCACATCATCATGGTTTGAACAATGTGATACATCTAACTGGGGCTCCCTGCACCCGGCTATGGGTTTAGATCACAGGTGGTTATATATATCAACAGATATTCACATGAAGTGTAAGTGTACTCTAAGAATTTGAACTCCAGCCTTAAACTAGCTCAACGAAACCTATATCCCTGGATGTTACCAATGTGGGAATCGAATCCAGTTTCTCAGCTTTACGAGTGCATGCATGGACCAAATAAGAGAGGCTCTTTTACATATAACTGACATTTGTATAAACAACGTTATATTACGCACAGTGTCTCTTTCAAACAGTACCATGTCAGGAGTACTCGTCAAGGCATTCAAGATTATTCGTTTAAGGATATGAGAATCGAAACAGTTATATATATTTAAAAAGGCTCCGGTTAAACACAATCAATATCCTGTCCAAAGTATTCTTTTCCTTTATAATAAAAATCAAAGCGACAAAACCCTTTCCATATTCATAAGAAATCTCTGTGAAAAATAGAGTCGACTGTACGATTCCGACAAAATCATGAGCATGTGTTTATGAATCACTACCAAATACTAATGAGACCAGGTGTTTGCGAAAAGGTGATCGTATCCTGACCGACCGATGGCACCCGTCATAAACACATACAAAGGCAAGTCAATTGTTCATTGTTCATTGTCAATTGGCATTACTCCACACACAGCCTTTCGGGAACACGTGATACCTCATCATCATCATGTTTGTTGTTTAACGCCACACGCAGCAGTATTCGAGCTATATGACGGCGCTCTGGAACAGACAATCCAGTGATTGACACCATGAGCATCTATTCACGCAATTGTGTGGAATACGATGACATGTATCAACCAGGTCAGCGAGCCTGAACACCCGATCCCGTTAATCGCCTTTTACGACAAGCACAGTCACCTTTTACGGCAAGCATGGGTTGCTGACGACCTATTCTACCCCGGAATCTTCACGGGTCCATTATGGAAGTGACATAAATGAATATATGCTTTAATATAAAAGGGTCTCACTTACAAGTATGTGTCAAACGATCAATAGGTAATCATGGAAGCAGTATTTGGTCTCAGAACTTTCCGGTTCAGGATGACGGAGGTATAACGTGACCGACGAAGATCCGAGGTAGAAAAGATCTACGGCAACATTGTCAAAATATGCCCTAGACCATTATTGAATTAAGTTATCTAAGCGACTGTGCTTGACGACTAGGCGACTATTGCGTGGATCGATGCTCATGATATTAATCACTGGATTGTCTGGTCCAGACTCGATTATTTACAGACCGCCGTCATATAGCCGGAATATTGCTGAATGCGGCGTTAAACATCCAACCAACCAACCAACCATCCAACCACTTCCATAATGCCTTGGCATAACAGTCAAACTATCAGGACGAATTGAGTGGAATGCCACAATGTTCCATAGCTGTGGGGTCATAGCATCGCAACATTACAAACGTTGAACATTTTTCTAATGTGACATCATAAGGAAACATTGTCACATCTGATGGTATTGATGAATTAATAACATTCTTGACTATTTATAATTTTTTTAACAAACGTATGACATGAACCTTTCGTTTTCAGTGAATATAAATGTTCATTAATACAAGACTGTACAATTTCATTCTTTGATCGGCTTGTCAGGACAGTTTTCATCATTTGTTCAGTATGTTTTGTATTTTTAAAAATTACAAATTAGATCTACTTCTACTGAAAATGGCAGCAGCTGGGCATTGCAGATTTCTGGGGACTAATTTATACCTCGAATCCTCATGGATGCAGCTTCATGTATTTGAGAGAGAGTTTAGGTTTGTTAAATAGTTTAACCACATAAAATACGGATACAAAATTGTGACAAAAACATTTCCCTGAAACACATTTTCACCTGTGAGAAAATAAAATAATTGACATATTTTATTGTGCAAACGTTCTATAAATATTAGGTTTTGTAAATTGTCGTCACATTGCAGCAGTACTCCCCCCCCCCCCCCCCTTGTCGTAAACAAAAGCGAGACGTCTATTTCAATATTCATAAGAAATATCTCTGCCAAGTGCGCAGTCCATTTTTCGATTTTGAATACATGTTAATGATTTGTTTGTTTGTTGTTTTGTTGCAATATTGCAGCTGTATGACGGTGGTTCATGTGTTCATGAATCACTTTTAAATGATGATGATACCAGGTGCTCGCAAAACGGAGGTTTCCGTGACAAGAACATGCAAATAACAATAATCTTGAACAAACACGAGAACATTTGGTTGTCAAACTCATAAATTGCTTTGATGATCATTTTTGTCACTGATCGTCAAATTTGGAAATGCTCTCCGCCAAACAATTTCTTGAAAGCTTTACTAAGGTTTTGAATGGTGTAACCCTAATCAAACGACTTTTGAGCAAGAATCGTATGATGCTATTTGAAATCATTGTAAAGAGAGAGCTTGCTCGATTGTACCTCAAAGGTAAAATATAGACATAGGTTGGAGCTACTGGAAAGTATATGCCCGACAAAAGGGAAAATGTAGTTATTCCTCTTGTCATACAGTCGTGTGGATAGTTTTGTTGTCGCTCATAATATTAATGGGGGCGGTCGGGTAGCCTAGTGGTTAAAGCGTTAGCTCGTCACGCCGAAGACCCGGGTTCGATTCCCGACATGGGTACAATGTGTGAAGCCCATTTCTGGTGTCCCCCGCCGTGATATTGCTGGAATATTGCTAAAAGCGGCGTAAAACCTCACTCCCTCACTCATAATATTAATGCATCAATCGAACTATGAAATATATGAGATGTTTTATTGCTAGGTCAGGTTGATAAATAAGCGTAAAGGAATAAGCTACAATTTGTTGTCAGTGTTCAATTTTATATTATCATGTATAACATTGACAGGTTTAGTCTTCATTACACGATAAATATCTGCAGGATCACTGTATCTCTGAACCAATGGTATGATGTTTAAAGATAAAGATGATCATTGCAAAATTCTGAGGTACATATTATCATGCCTACCCAAACAAAAGCGAACTAAAGATACCCAACGGAGGCATCACAACGTCGTCTTCATCATCATCATCTCCATCGTATTCAACATAATAGTCAGTGTGTTCTGACACTGCGGTTGTGGCATGATCAAGTCTCTCATATCGATATAGTGGTTCGTTACAGCCTGCAGAGACTGTAAAGTAGGATGCCCCATCAAGACTCCATGCAACTGATTCGCCAAATGTTTCTGTCCAATAAGGTAGTTGCATGGACTGTTTGGAATCGGTGAGGACCTTTTCCATATCTTCTTCTGCATCAACATACCAGTAGAATACCTCCTCTTTGAACTTGATAAGGAATCCCTTACCATCTACAGATATATCTCCACCACTCGGACCTTCGTATGAGTTGCCATTGGGTAAAGCCACATTAAAGAGGTGTTTGGCTTCATATTCATCGATTTCATATAACCCTCTAGGTTGGCGGGAAGAATCCATGAGGAAGATTCTGCCTCTTGGTGAAACCATGAGTGTCTTACTATTCTTCAATGTGGATCTGAAAAGATCAAAATGGATACCTTTTCAGAGATTGAAAAGATTTCTTGGCAGTAGAAGGAATGTTGTTCCTAAGGAACTGAACTTAACTGTTTATTTTCTCATATCACATGTTGAAGTACACCGTCGCAAACTGACTACAATAAGCACACTGTTATATGAACTTGTATATTCTAGTAATGCTTGTCGTAAGAGGCGACCAACGGGATCGGGTGGTCAGGCTCGTTGCCTTGGTTGATGCATGTCATCGTTATTCAATTGCGTGGATCGATGCCCATGATGTAAATCACTGGATTGTCTGGTCCAGACTCGATTATTTAAAGACCGCCGTCATTTAGCTTGAATATTGCTGAATGCGGCGTTAAACAACAACAAACAAACATACAAACGAAACAGTCTAATGGAGGCTATACGTTAAAATCGCCCTTTTCATCACTTCCAACAGGTGATCAGGACATTATCACCGTCGTTATTTCTCTGCATAGATTAGATATAATCGACTGTAACATGAACATAAGAATAAGTCCCCCCAAAACATGGTTTCATAAAATACCATGAATTTGGACAACTATTGATCACAGGTTTTCAAATCATGATATATAGCATTTCACGTTACAAAACGACAGTTGCCGTAACAACAACATTGAAAGTTCGTGTGATAATAAATTTTGGCAGAAAAAAACCAAATCGACTTAGAGTGTACATTTCAAGTTTTAGGAACAGAGACCTTCAAATTGACGCTTTTCTGTAACCGACGACATATGAGTGGTGTGACATCGTACTAGGGACGTGCAGAGTAGATCTAAACTTTAGGGATGCCCACTTTATGTTGGCTTCATTTAACCGTGTTAACTTGAATTTTGAGGTTTCAAATGTTAAATCTAGAATGGTTGATCCCACAGGTAGCCTAGGTCTACATTGACAACACATTGTGCGTATCTCTAAAATATTCTGTTGAACATTAACATACAATACAGCATCAAAATGTAATTCGTGACAATCAGTTCAAACTCAATACACCAATTGCAATATTCAATATATGCCAATTTCAATGGCAACATATATTATTATTTGGACACACACTAGTGTAATAAGTAAATTAAAAACAGAAAGAAGTCGATATTGTTTTACGACCGCCTCTCAGTGAGATTTCTGAAAATATATCTGTAAACATGAAAAAGGTAATGCGTGGCCAAAGTTTAGAGTATTAGCTTACTCAAAGCCAATGACCTCGATTTCGTCCTCCCCGAGAGACAGTTTACGACCCTGTATCACTTCCTCTGGTTCCTGTACCTTGTAGATCAGATTAGAAGGACCTTCTCCTGTATGTCCAGTATCAGATACATAAATACAATGTCCAAATCCATCCGAATCACAAGGACCACATGCGATATCTTCCCAGTCAGTGTTGACAGCATCCAAACTGATCTCAACGATAATTGACCGTTTATTGGTGTCGTATGCGTAGATAATGCTTTCCCCTTTTTCATTTTTGTTCCCTGCTCGAATGTAGTAGAAGACACCAGGATGTTGACGGCTTGCACATATACCTGATATGTCCTCTTCACAGGAAAGTATCACGCCAGCATAGTTACGGTTTGAGAACCCTGAAACAAGTCAAGTAATTCTTGATCATGCTGACATCATTCAATATTACAGTTCGTAAACGTCTTTAAAAACACGGTTATCAAAACAGTCCTGTTTTAAACACTTTAGGTACTAAGGTCTTTGATTAGTAGCCACTGTCGAATTGGTTAGAGCATGTCTAATCGCTGAAATGGTTATTCAAATTCTGGAGAGCTCCGCTCCAACTTACCATGTCAATGTGTAACCTTGCTTAAGATGTGATCATCTTTGAAAGCTTATAGCACATATTATTTCTTTGGGTTTTATGACACCTCAAGGTTTTGTAATTATGATCAAATTGTCTAAGACAGGTTTGAAACTTTCTGCAAGTTATGCCAGCAGTGTCATTTCATGATTGATCATATGCAAGCAAGCATTATTCTTATCCGCTTCCAATCAAGCACCTAGCTTATTCTCATTTCATTTTATGGCCCTACATGCTTATCGTAAAAGGCGCTGACTTTGTTGATGCATGTCATCGTATCCCAATTGCGTGGATCGATGTTCATGATGAAAAGGCGACTAACGGGATCGGGTGGTCAGACTCGCTGACTTGGTTGATACATGTCATCGATTCCAATTGCGTGAATCGATGCTCATGATGTCAATCAGTGGATTGTCTGGTTCAGACTCGAATATTTTACAGACCGCCGTCATACAGCTGGAATATTGCTGAGTGCGGCGTAAAACAACAAACCAAACCAAAACAAGCTTTCTGATCACAGATATGTCCTTCACAGAACCACTTTGTGAAACAAGCGATATACCCACTTATCACAAAATATTTGGTTGGTATTTTAAGAGATACTGTCGTACTTCCAACCACTAGTGTCTGTACACTAGACACAGTTTTGTTCATGACATCATGAAATACCTGATATTATGCCGTCAAAACATAAGCTTTTTTTTTACCTAAAAGCAAGATTTTCAAATACATTCATTTTAGACTGTTTGATTTACCCTTGGCTTTTCCTGTAAGATTAACTTCACTCTGTTTCTTGTTGACCCATTCTTCTTTCTTGTTTTCCTCCTCTACTGTCGAGATGTCTTGCCCCAGCCGTTGTTCCAACATGTCCATTGAACTCTGCAGTTCCAACAAGTACGCATATCGAGAGGTATAGACATCATTTTGGGCATCTTTCTGTCCACCATGAGTTATTGCCTTGCTTGGAGAAATTGCTTCACCATTTAGGTTTTGAGCAAGGTGCAACGAAAGAAAGATCGTCACTGACAGAAGAATTCTCATTTTGCCCTTCATTTGCAAAGAAGCCAACTCCTTCGTCAACACAACATACGTGGACACTAATGTTTGTATTGGTAATTGGCGAGAGAAAATAGAAGTCATATCTTCATGATCTTGTACACCTAATCACCTATAACAATACACAAAGAGGGAGTGACTTGATCTTTTAAGACAGGGAACTTATCTTTCTCAAATGGTCATATTACGTTAATAGGTTTCACACAGCGCTTGACCCTAAATGACCATACATATTGATTGTTTTGATATTTGCTTATGTGGGATTGATCGAATCGTATTCGTCTTTCTTCGCTATTCAAAAGACCAAGACGATTAACAGTTTGACGTTAAACAAAAATATGTAATGGTTCCGGTGGGACAGTCTTTAAGTATTCTGTGTCAGAGTTGACCCCAAGTACTTTATCCTTGTCGTAAACGTCGACTTGAACGGGATTCGGGTGGTGTGTGTTGTCTCCATGTATTCTCCATGGCGTGGAACGTTGCTCCTGCTGACAAAAACTGGTTTGCCTGATCCTGACTCAGTTGTTATTATTATTACGGGCTGCCTCGGAAAAGCTAAGTGCCACCTCCGTAGTCTAGTGTTAGAGTGTCCGCCCGGAGAGAGGTAGACCCGTGTGCGATCCCCGGCCGCGTCATACCAAAGACGTTAAACGATGGTACTTGTTGTTACCCTGTCTGGCACTCGGCATTAAGGGGCTAAAACAAGGACTGGTTGGCTCGGTATACTGTGTCTGAGTGGGGTATTCATGTTATCTGCGGCGTGCCATCTCAGTGTGCTAGTACTATAACAGGGGGCACGGGTGGCGCAGTTGTCTGAGGCGCCGCGATTCGCTGTGCAGAGTTGCGTCCCTTGGGCACGCCAGAAACCTATGATTGTGGGTTCGAATCCCGGTAGGCAGCTGATTAGGTTGATGCATGTCATCGTATCCCAATTGCGTGGATCGATGCTCATGATGTCAATCACTGGCCTGTGTAGTCCAGACTTTATTATTTATAGACCAGCGTCATATAGCTGGTGTATTGCAATCAATATCCTGTCCAAACTATTCCTATTATGATAAAAACCCAAACCCTTTTCAATATTCATAAGAAATCTCTGCCTAAAACAGTCGACTCTACGATTCGTACAATGTCATGATCATGTGTTTATGAATCACTATCAAATAGCAATGATACAGAGGTGTTCGCGAAAAAGTGCGCGAATCCTGACCCACCGGTGGCACTCGTCATAAACACATGCAAAGGCAAGTCAAATGTTCACCTGAAAAAAACACGGGAACGCATGGTCCAGGTCAAAATAGGGAATTGCATTGGACATCTAGTGGATCTTAGGTTGGTGTGCACTATAATATCGGCATTACAATAAACTACGGTTAAAACGAACAAAGGGACCACTGATTTTAGTTCGTAATAACCGTAGTTCGTTATAAGCATATATACAGCATATATACAAGAAATGGCCGGTAAAAAAATAAATAAGTTCGTTATATCCGTGATAAGCGTGTTATAAACCTAGTTTACTGTACTTGTTACCCTACCTGGCTCTCGGCTCTCTCTCTCTCTCTCTCTCTCTCTCTCTCACAGTATTCAGACGCGGTCATCTCCCTAAAGGAGTATACTTCCTATAGACATCGATACATGTGTCCTCCACATCATAAAGTGGTGTTTATTAGTGCACTACACAGGCCAAGATGCATCAGCACGTATCTCCCTAAACGCTGTGATAAAGCCATTGCATTAAAGTAGGTCATTGTATCTCACATCGACATGGACTATGGCCGAAACCTGACCTAGCAAAACACATGTCAAGATCCGGCCTGTACTGAACTGATCACGGGTGTTAAGCGAACCTACAGGTAATTATAACAAGCTTTCTGTTAAGAGTTATTAATTTTTTCAGCAAGGCTGGGTCTCAACCTTAGAAAATAAATACTAATGAGTATTGTTCTTTTCCATATATTGTACGGATGTCTAGAATTTATCAATATATCTGTCATTGATATACTCGGCCACCGTGATCTTGCTGGAATATTGCTAAAAGCGGAGTAAAACAACACTCACTCACACACTTAGGACAACATGGCCTGCTACAAGCAAATGTCTGATACTCTTATCGAGTTTGTTTGCTTTTTTGTTGTTTAACGCCACACTCTGCAATATTCCAGCTATATGACGGCGGTCTGTACATAATCGAGTCTGGACCAGACAATCCAGTGATTGACATCATGAGCATCGACCCACGCAATTGGGGTACGATGACATGCATATCAACCAAGTCGGCGAGCCTGACCACCCTATCCCGTTTGTCGCCTCTTACGACAAGCATGAGTTGCTGAAACCTATTCTTCCCCGGATCTTCACGGGTCTCTTGTTGGGCATTATGTTATGTAATACGTGATAATCATGAGACATATTTTCACAAATTCGATTGTACGATTCCGAGTACAAGTGTATCAACAACATGTGTTTATGAATCACTATTACATTGTAAGCAATGTCTATTTAAACCACAGCGAGGTCGGCACGTTACAGCACTGTCGTGGCGTAGACAGCAATCTTTCAGTTGCACCGCAGCGAGGTCGGCACGTTACAGCACTGTCGTGGCGTAGACAGCAATCTTTCAGTTGCACCGCAGCGAGGTCGGCACGTTACAGCACTGTTGTGGCGTAGTCAGCAATCTTTCAGTTGCACCACAGCAAGGTCGGCACGTTACAACACTGTCGTGGCGCAGTCAGCATTCTCTCAGTTGCACCACAGCGAGGTCGGAACGTTACAGCACTGTCTTGGCGTAGTCAGCAATCTTTCAGTTGCACCACAGCGAGGTCGGCACGTTACAACACTGTCGTGGCGTAGTCAGCAATCTTTCAGTTGCACCACAGCGAGGTCGGAACGTTACAGCACTGTCGTGGCGTAGTCAGCAATCTTTCAGTTGCACCACAGCGAGGTCGGAACGTTACAGCACTGTGGTGGCGTAGTCAGCAATCTTTCAGTTGCACCGCATAGAGGTCGACACGTTACAGCACTGTCGTGGCGTAGACCGCAATCTTTCAGTTGCACCACAGCAAGGTCGGCACGTTACAACACTGTCTTGGCGTAGTCAGCAATCTTTCAGTTGCACCACAGCGAGGTCGACACATTACAGCACTGTCGTGGCGCAGTCAACAATCTTTCAGTTGCACCACAGCGAGGTCGGCACATTACAGCGCTAGGTTAGCGCAGTCAACAATGTTTCAAAACAATAATAAAATTATTCACGAAACGTTACGTTACGTTGAAGTTTCAGACAGACAGCTAGATATTAGAAATACGACACCATTCACGATAGTTTTTTATCATATAAATCCTCGAAATATGGACCCTCACAATCGGGGCATAGATTTTTTTAAACACAAACAGTAACAAGACTATGTCGCTCGGCCTACCTGTAAGTAATTACATTATTGGTACTCCTTTAAGCAAGTCTAGTGAGTTCAAATTAAGGTATCACCGAAAGGAACCCAAGGACCAGCTCTTAGCTCTGCTTTACTATCTGTTACAGGCGACAATGTTTTGCTGTAACCTCCCTTGCCTCGTGGGTGCTGCAGTCGTCTTTGCGGGCCTTTCGTATGTCGCGTACATACCGTTGATGGAGGGTATTGTGGACACGTATCAAGCGAGGATGATCTCCACATTTGCAAGAGTTGTTAGAATAACGGTATGTTGATTGAGATTTGGTTTGTCCTACTTTTAATTCCTGTAACTGCTTCTAAGACGTGTAAGTGTTGTTTGCATGTTGTCTGTCATAGGCGAAGCTAAAGGGAGTTGGTGCGATTTCAAGCTGTTTCCACATTTAACATCGATCACTCACTCACTCACTCACTCAGGGGTTGATAGCACGATTGTTATTATGACGATTACAACACGTCACAATTTGAGTCGGAATGTCTCGTGCTGTTTCATGTTTTTCATATCTTTCAATCCTAAAATATATGACGTAATATTGACAAATGTGACCCGTGAAGATTCCGGGGTAGAATAGGTCTTCAGCAACCCATGCTTGCCGTCAAAGGTGACTATGCTCGTCGTAAAAGGCGACTAATGGGATCGGGTGGTCAGGCTCGCTGACTTGGTTGATGCATGCCATCGATCCCAAATGCGTGGATCGATGCTCATGATATCAATCACTGGATTGTCTGGTCCAGAATCGATTATTTACAGACCGCCGTCATATAGATGGAATATTGCTGAGTGCGGCGTTAAACAACAAACCAACCAACCAACCACAAGTTATCATATCCATTCTAAGACATTAAACGGATTCAGGATGCCAGTATTGAATACGGTTATAGTTTGCTCCATATAACTATGCACATTCATTTCACCTTGTTGAGCCAGTCGTTGGCATTAAACCTTTCATGAACATTTCTGTGAAGGGAGGCGTGGCAGGAGGTCTTGGTGTGGAGAGGCCGGATAACGTGGCGAGAATGCTTACTAGTCTCATCCTCTCAGACAAAATCCCACCTCCCGAGACAGATCAACTAAAGGTAACACACATCGGATTACACAGCACGTAAGATCTAGCTGCCATGTAAGGATATGGGGTTAATATGTGCCCCTAGTACCCGGTGGTAGTGTCCCAGCTTGTGTCCCCTTCACGCATTTAGTCAATGGACAGTAAACTACGGTTATAACGAACTCATATTGGCCACTAATTCTAGTTCGTTATAAGCGTAGTTCGTTATAACCATACATACAGAATATATACAAATAATGGCCGCGACCAATAAATAAGTTCGTAATATCAGTCAGTTCGTTATAAGCGTAGTTCGTTATTACCACATATACAGATTATATACAGTCAAGGGCCGCGACCAAGAAATAAGTTCGTAATATCAGTCAGTTCGTTATAAGCGTGTTCGTTATAAACGCATTTTACTGTATAGCTGCCCCTGTGAAGTTTTTAATGTCATGTTGTATGCATCTTCACACAGGTGGAAGACTACACGTTTGATGGTGTACCGGTAAGGCTGTATCGTCCAACAAGTGCAGCAAACCCATCGCCATCCGTGATATATATTCATGGTGGGGGCTGGACCATCCTAAACGTAGGTACGAAAACAAAAAGTCCAATAACATACATTATAGGCTGTACCGATTGAACTGGAGCCTACAAGGTGAGCGCATGGACTATTTAGGCTACCTTTCACTTTCGGTTTTTTTTTCCATCTTTGTTCCACTGATATTTTTCTCGATCGACTCTAGCTGTTATTTTGGAACCGACACCCTGGTCAGAATTTCTTTTCCCTGTGTTATGGCGAGTGTTTCCCCTGTGTTATGGCGAGTGTTTCCCCTGTGTTATGGCGAGTGATTCCCTGTGTTATGGCGAGTGTTTCCCCTGTGTTATGGCGAGTGTTTCCCCTGTGTTATGGCGAGTGTTTTCCCTGTGTTATGGCGAGTGTTTCCCCTGTGTTATGGCGAGTGTTTCCCCTGTGTTATGGCGAGTGTTTCCCCTTTGTTATGACGAGGGTTTTCCCTGTGTTATGGCGAGTGTTTCCCCTGTCTTATGGCGAGTGTTTCCCCTGTATTATGGCGAGTGTCTCCCCTGTGTTATGGCGAGTGTTTCCCCTGTGTTATGGCGAGTGTTTTCCCTGTGTTATGGCGAGTGTTTTCCCTGTGTTATGGCGAGTGTTTCCCCTTTGTTATGGCGAGTGTTTCCCCTGTGTTATGGGGAGTGTTTTCCCTGTGTTATGGCGAGTGTTTCCCCTGTGTTATGGCGAGTCTTTCCCCTGTCTTATGGCGAGTGTTTTCCCTGTGTTATGGCGAATGTTTTCCCTGTGTTATGGCGATTGTTTTCCCTGTGTTATGGCGAATGTTTTCCCTGTCTTATGGCGAGTGTTTCCCCTGTGTTATGGCGAATGTTTTCCCTGTGTTATTGCGAGTATTTTCCCTGTGTTATGGCGAGTGTTTCCCCTGTATTATGGCGAGTGTTGTCGATGCGATAAACCAGTCTGATAAACTTGGTATCACGATCCGATGAATATGCAAATGAAGAACTACTTTAAAGCTCCAAAACATCGTTGCAATGTCTCCTTCATCAGTAAACTATTGACTCACGTTCAATTTATTTTGAGATAAGTGTCGCCGTGTTTATATAGTCCAATATGGCTGCATGGCACGTGGCATTACTTGATAAATTAGGCGGTTCACCCAATCACTGTATTCATGCGCGGTTTCTAAAGCTGCATCATGAAGTATATCAGGAATAAAAGCCAAAGAATCGCATAATACAGTTTTATTCCCAAAATACGGTGATATGAAAATACATTCGGCTAATAAGCTGTATATGCCGAACAATGATAATTCAGCTGAATCCATGTCTGTACGCTGAGTCATTAAAACTTTGAAACAACAAAATTTCACTTTGTAACAGGAAATAATAATTATAAAATCAAATAAAGAAAGTGTGTCTCAATAGTTCATAATGCTAATTCGTATTCAATTGTAAATATAGAACTGTGGAAGTAATTGATGATTCAGAAGAATGAAAATGCTTGTAACAAATAGAAATACAGATCACTTACATTGTTTAAGCTTGTGCCTTTATCTTTCAGACAGCTACGATGATACAGTATCAGACTTAACAGTAACATCTGGCTATGTCTTTGTTTCCATTGAGTGAGTACGTCATGGGTATTAGACGCTGTGGACTGACTGATTCAATCATAATGACATTAACTCCATAGCCAGGAAATATGGGATACAATGACACAATGCCAGCAAAAACAACAGCAACATCAAGTTTTGAACGTGAAGTATTTCAAACTTCACATTTTACCTCCCGAGATCAGCATACAGATTCTCTCTCTCTCTCTCGTGTTATAAGCGTGTTATAAACCTAGTTTACTGTACTTGTTACCCTGCCTGGCTCTCTCTCTCTCTCTCTCTCTCTCTCTCTCTCTCTCTCTCTCTCTCTCTCTCTCTCTCTCTCTCTCGATAAGCATACAGACTCTCTCTCTCTCTCTCTCTCTCTCTCACAGTATTCAGACGCGGTCTTCTCCCTAAAGGAGTATACTGCTATAAATTCTATTGAGCGTGTGTGAGGGACCTGGCATCAATAAGAGACTTCGATTTGATTTTGAATCATGCATATAAGAAGTTTGTAAATTGTGAGTAAAAATGTAGGGTAATAATGTATGCCTAACCTCATCATCCATTTCTCTGACATCACAAAATGACTGTATTACAACAGCATTATTGCTAAATATTTCTATGTTTGCATGCCGAAGTCATCACCATTTTGTGAATCCTTACAGGTATCCGCTAGCCCCTGAAAATCCGTTCCCTAAACCGTTCGAGGCATGTCTAAAAGCAGCCCTTCACGTGTTGGCCCACGCAGGGACATATGGTCTAGATGCAGAGAACATAGCTATTGCAGGTAAGGGACGGTTTAATCGTCGATTGTTGGAAATCACACTTTGATTATGCGAGGTCACAACAAGTAATAAAGATCAATTATGAAGATTTCGATTGGCCAATTACTGCTTATTGTGCCTAATATTTGTTATAAAGAGCGATGTTAAAAGAAGAACACCGAGCTGTACAAGCATTGTGTGGTTCCACGCACTGACTGCCTAAATCAACTCTTCATATGTATTTACACCTTGGACCCAAGTTCAAGAGATGTGTGACCGTTTCTCTCATCCATTCACGTTTAACTTCACAGGGGACAGCTCGGGTGGTAATCTCGCAGCTGCAGTAGCTCTGAAGCTATCTGAGGTGAAAGACATCCCCAAACTCAGGTTCCAGTGGCTCATCTACCCGGCGCTCCAAGCGTTCAGTTTCAAAACCCCATCTTACGTTTCAAACGAGGAGGCCTCTCCCTACTTCCTCCAATGCGAGACAATGACACGTTATTGGTGCAACTACATGGGCATTAACACACCAACCATGATAGAAGCTTTCAGTACCAACAACCACACTTCTAGGAAGCTGAAACAATCGATCTATGCTTCATATGTTAGTTCCAAGCTGCTGCCAACGGCATATCACGGCGATAACTTAGAACCAACCAATATAGATCATGGCGATGATAACATCTCCAATCAAATTGAGAACATTATTTTGAATCCTTATTTTGCTCCCTTGATGGCTCCGGATCTTAGTGGAGTGGCTCCAGCGTTTGTGGTCACAGCTGAGTTTGATGTTCTGAGGGATGATGGTCTGATGTATGCTCAGAGGATGAAGGACGCCAGTGTGGACGTGGTTGTCTACAACTCCCCGGGGTCTATACATGGCTTCTTGTATTTTTTTGTTGGTCTTATTCCCAAGTATGCTGACACTGATCACACAGTCGACATGTTTGTAAAGTATGCAATGAAACAATTCAAATGAATTTTAACTGTTGATCTACATGTATGCTTATATGTATTTCTTTTTCTAACAATAAAGAAAATAATCTTAGTTCAATTTCTAATAAACCGAAGTTCATGTTTGATCTTTACCCTGATGACAACAGAGATTGTTTCAGAATTCCACACAAATATAATAAATAAAACACTCATATTGTATTTCGTTAGTTGAAGGTAAGGACGACCAATAACAATATATGTATATTTGTATATTTGTACGAGGTGATTGACTAACTTAATCTTTTACACCACAGTCCTCTCAGTAGTTTAGCTATACGACAGCCTGAGGAATGTGAGCTGTACAAATTAGTGAGCTATTCCAATCAGTGATGACACCAGGTGTTCGCGGAATCACAGTCCTCTCAGTAGTTTAGCTATACGACAGCCTGAGGAATGTGAGCTGTACAAATTAGTGAGCTATTCCAATCAGTGATGACACCAGGTGTTCGCGGAATCACAGTCCTCTCAGTAGTTTAGCTATACGACAGCCTGAGGAATGTGAGCTGTACAAATTAGTGAGCTATTCTGATCAGTGATAACACCGGGTGTTCGCGGAATCACAGTCCTCTCAGTAGTTTAGCTATACGACAGCCTGAGGAATGTGAACTGTACAAATTAGTGAGCTATTCCGATCAGTGATAACACCGGGTGTTCGCGGAATCACAGTCCTCTCAGTAGTTTAGCTATACGACAGCCTGAGGAATGTGAACTGTACAAATTAGTGAGCTATTGCAATCAGTGATGACACCAGGTGTTCGCGGAATCACAGTCCTCTCAGTATTTCAGCTATACGATGGAACATGAGATGTACCAATTAGTGGTTGATAGCTTTAACAGCATAGGCGGCATGACCCTTCCTTATTTCTTGTTGGTTCTACGACCGGTGTATTGAAGACTTCTTCAGCTCTGGATAACCCTAAGGGGCGTTCATTGCCAATAATACATTCTGATCACGTTGTAATTATATCAATCAATAAACAAAGATGCGTTCCTTCAAAATAGCACAGGTAGACTACAACTGAAATTAGCTGTCTTTACTCCAGGGAACTAGTCACTGAGAAGACGGTGACACATTCGTAGTGGTGGTACAATGTACAGGAATAATGTTCTCTCGAAGTAAAATCATAAATCTGATTTTGCATCTTTTAATGTGTCTCTTGTCGTTTTGAAAAGTGTATGAAAAGTGTATGAAAAGTGTATGAAAAGCGTATGAAAAGGGTATGAAAAGTGTATGAAAAGTGTATGAAAAGTGTATGAAAAGCGTATGAAAAGCGTATGAAAAGTGTATGAAAAGTGTATGAAAAGTGTATGAAAAGCGTATGAAAAGTGTATGAAAAGTGTATGAAAAGCGTATGAAAAGTGTATGAAAAGTGTATGAAAAATGTATGAAAAGTGTATGAAAAGCGAATGAAAAGCGTATGAAAAGTGTATGAAAAGTGACTTTTGGAATCAGTGAGTAACAGTGTCAGCGGAACACACCATATAGGATCAAAGCGCACTGTTTGTGTGAACATAGGAAAAAATGATCAAGTTTAACCACTTATTTTTCATCTTCTGCGACTACCATATCGTAATAGTTTGTTTCAGCAGTCCCTCACAGAGCAATAGGACGTCCCATGATAGTCATCTACACATCCATTAGTTCCGACCCCATATCTTCTTCATCGTCAACACACATACGAGATGTCAGTACTTAATCCAGTTAATCACCTGCCTTCAATATTTGAACTGCGGGGCGTGGCTGCGGATGTTTTGATTGGCTGATTGGTGATACGTGAACTGCTCAGAGATTAACAGTTCGTCATAAACGTAACAGTTTCCTTGACGGGACCTCAAAGTGAGTTCGCTATATCCGTTATTTCGTTGTAAGCGTGTTCTTTCTATCCATCAATTGAATATGATAACATTTCTCCAAACGTCCGGGACATATAAAACAACAGTTCGTTATATCCGTCAGTTTGTTATAAGCGCGTGTGTTATAAACGTACCAAATATGCCTCCTTGTAGGACTTTAAGGGGAATTCATTGCCACCCTGGAGAGATATATCCACCACTAGACTTGTTTAGAGTCTTCTTCTTTAACACTATCATGCAAACCGCCAGATTTTAAAGTAGACTTCATGGTAAACACTCGACCGTGTGGTGCAACCAGTAGTGTCTATAATAATACATACACATGTGTTTGAATGTGTCTGAAGATATGTACTTAAACAAGTCAAATTATAGCTAGTTACATAAAATCATAAAGGAGACGACTGAAGACCAAACTACCCAGTGAAGGTTAGGAACATTTTATTCAAAACAACATCAGTTAATGTTGAGCTTTTCTCCAATGGTCCGAAAACGGTTAGTTTTACTTGCAGTTATATCAGTATCAAAAAGAATACAAAAGACAAACATAATTTTATCAGCAAAGTTCAACACTAAGAACGTAGAATGTTTGTAAGTGCTACTGTAACACTTTTTGGTTCAAACACGACAGTGTGGCTTCCCTTGTCCTTTTCTTCCATTTGTGAGTATGTCATGTTAAGACCGGGTGCAAGCGTACACGTCTGGGGGAGTTTGTTTACGTTAATTATTATCAATCGCACGTGTCATAGAAGATACTTGCTCTACCATATGATATGCACTGCAGCCCTCTAAAGCGCCCCATTTCTCTGGAGGGTTTCCCAAACATGGTAATAATACATGTCTCACGTCTGTACGACTTCGGGCTTTCCTTTCACAGTAATAGACTGTGGAATGAAGTACTCATAATAAGACTCACTCGCTCACTTTAATAAACTGTGAAATGAAGTATTTTTCAAAGCAGGACTCACCCAAACTCACTCACTCACCCAAACTCACTCACTCACTCACTCACTCACTCACTCACTCACTCACTCACTCACTCACTCACTCACTCACTCACTCTACAAGACTTCATCACTTTTTCTCCCACAATTTTCCCATCATTGTTTGTTCCTGTGTGCACAGCATACATCGTGAATAGTTATCCCTAAGTAGTGAAAGCAAATATGCCCTTATCCGATGGAACCTATACTTTGTCCGATATGATTTCCTGTGATAAACTCACATTTTACCACTTTCAGTCACAAAACATGCGTTTGATCTATATTACCATAGCTGTATACATAAATATATACAGCAACGATAATATCAGTCATTATTCGCACGCAGTCAAAACCAAAGTCACGCCATGTATCATTGTTGTTTATTTGGGATGACATAGGCCATTGATGTCTGCTATTGACAAAATGTATAAAGGATCAACACAATTACTTCTCTGCCTCTCGATGATTCTAACCCGATAAGTACATAGAAAGTTTCATGATCGAAAAGATGTACGAGGGGCGTTCAGTAAGTTTTGCAACTTAAATATAAGACCAAGTTGCAGAATATCTTTCGCACTTTTATTTTTCAATGTAACCTCCATCTCAACATACAACATACAAAGAACAAAAACGAAACATATTCTTGAAAGCTCAACATCGGTCACGGATTTATTTCAATGTATTTTATTCTGATGTCAATGATCCACGTGTAGTCGAATTTGCAGTTAATCGTCCGTTAGTTCACTCCAAGTGAATAAAAGTAGTGGAAAAGGTATGTGCTGAAAATATCACAGCCGTTATGGTAATGTTTACGGTTTAGAGCTCCGGGTTCTGAAAGGACGGAGGCGTGCCTTATATGTCTGTGATTAAATTTCAAGCGGCAGAAGCGCAGCTATCAGGACCTACAAAAAGGACCAATGATGAGTAGAAAGCAGGCTGCTGTGCCTGCGGATAAACATGCAAAAAATTGTCCTATGTATCATCATGTTTGATATGTAGTGTCAACTGATAGTAGGGTTCAAAATTACACCTTGCAATTGTCCTCCATTTGCGACATTTTATTTTTGTAGTAAAACCTGCAATGGTTATTACTGAGGATAAGTTAAAAAAAAACATCCCAGGTTTTCTTCGAATTAAAACCTCGTTTGCGGTTGTCCTGTTTTTGGCGACAACTTCATCTTCATAGACAGCATCCCACTAGAGGTTTATAAGTAATGACATACCATATCATTCAAGTAACAGGTGTTATGTAATGGAGAAAACACGACTCAGAGGTTTTGGTAGAGAATGTAAAACCTCGGGAGGAGGGATTTCCCGACTCCCGAGGTTTAACATTCTCTACCAAAACCGAGGAGGAGTGTTTAATCCGGCTTAGAAACCGTTAAACGTTTAGAAATACTGTAAATTTAATTGTCTCACATTTAGGGCACTATAACGGGGATTTACTACCTCGCTATTGCCAGGATACACATATAGAAAGAACCCGAACCGTGCACGTGGGATGCATCCGGTAAGAACACGTGGTTGTCTTTCTCAGTTGAGTTCGAGATGTCGAGTGAGGAGGAAGGCGAAGACCTATTTCTGGAAGTAAGCGAGCAGCAGATTTGCGAACAAACTGGTAAGTTTAGTTCAATGTATAGAACCAATATTTTATGATTATCACTGTTTCGAATATTATCTGTGAATAAAATGAAACGCCCTTAACAAGCGTTTAGAAATGATTAATTTTTACTATAAAAATGTATTTTGATGTAGCCATATTTTCTAAAGTGGCCTAATGCTTTATAGGTGTTTAGAAAATACGGTTGTATACTTTGTTGTAATTAACTATAACATTTCTTTAGGGCACCGGAGTAGCGCTGTCCGCATCTACAAACGCACCAGCGACGATCTAAAGTCCAAGGCTTCAGACATTATCGGAAGGAAGATTCCTAAAAAGACGGAGACAGTGTCTTGTGCGCCACCAACTTCAGTGACTGAGACAACTACTTCCGCAACTGAGACAGCTGCTTCTGTAGGTACTTCGGCAGGTACCTCTGTAGACTCATCGACTTAGGCAAGTCTGGAAGGTCTATCCAAAAAAGGGTCTCACTACTTTACATTTAACTTTCATTAAAGGATGTTACTGGCTGTTGTTTTCTGTTGTCTTTGTGCAGAAGTCCGGGTATGTGCCTTTAAGTAAGACCCTGTGATGAAAAATCAGAGTGTATCGGGAATGTATTTTTTTCAGTGGCG